GGAGGAGCTCGAGGCCGTTTGCGTTGACATTGGCCGTGAGCGCAAGTCTATCACTGCATCCCTAAAGGATTTGGATTCGGTTGTATCGAAATTGGATAATGTGTTCATGTTCTTCGTGTTTGTGATAGTGCTGATTGTGTTCCTGTCGCTCATTTCGACCTCGGCCGCTGGTGTGCTTACCTCCGCGGGCTCTGCTATTCTCGCCCTGTCTTGGTTGTTCTCTGCTACCGCCCAGGAATTCCTTCAGTCGGTTATCTTCGTCTTCGTCAAGCACCCCTTCGATGTGGGTGACCGTGTGACCATCTACGGCAACGCTGGTGATGCCGGTCTTGGTGATGATTACTTTGTGAAGGAGATTACTCTTCTTTACACCGAATTCAAGAAGATGCAAGGCCATGTCGTGCAGGCGCCAAACAGCTACCTCAATGGGCTCTTCATCCTCAACCAGCGCCGTTCGGGCGCACTCGCCGAGGCTGTTCCAATCATTATCAAATATGGCACCAGCATTGACCAACTGGATGCCCTGCGACAGCGCCTCTTGGAGTTTGTGCGCAGCGAGAAACGCGACTTCCAGAGCAACATCCTCACCGAAATGCGTGCCGTCACCGAGAACTTCTCGCTCACACTCAACATCGTCTTCTTTTACAAGTCCAACTGGCAGAACGAGGGTCTACGTCTGCAGCGCCGCAACAAGTTCATATGTATGCTCATGGTCGCTCTCCAGGAGATCGGCATCGAGGGCCCACGCATGAACCTCCAGGGTGCCAAGTTCGACATTCCTTTCCACGTCAATTATGGCAATACACGCTCCACCGAGCGACAAATCCCTATCGATGCCGAGGAGGTACCAATCTCAGAAGAGTCCCACAACTTGCCAGAGAATACCGGAACCAGCAGCGGCAGCGCTATCCGTCACCCATCCATTCTCCGCAAGGGTATGCACACTGCCAATGCCCGCGCCCGCGGCCCGTCTGTCTCACAGCGCAAGCACGTCGACTTCTCCTTGGGCATGTCCAACATGGCATCCAACGATATTATGGGAGATGTGTTTGAGGATCGGGGTGTGGTCGTCGATGATGTCGTCCGTACCGCCAACCGCGATGCTGCAGAGCGCCGCATCCAGGAAGAGAACGAGGACGACGAAGAGCGCCGGAGCCGCACATCTTCTTCCCGGCATCGTCGCCCCTCTAACATGAGTATGAGCGCTCCCTCCAATAATGACGACGGTCGCCGGTCGACCGACGCCCACAGCTTCCGTAGTGGCCGGTCATCGCTCAGTCACAAACGGTTTTTCCAACACCGCAACAGCGTGAGCCACGATCGTGACAACTTGATGGAGCAGGGCCGCTTCGATGAGCCTACTCTGCCTCCGCCGGCCACAGTCCCTGGTTCCAAGGAGCACCCCAATTGATTTTGAGATGTGATCATTTCCAATCTCGTCTATTGATGTCGTCTTGGTCATCTTCATTCACTGAACATACACTATTGTCATATTTCTTTATTTCCCCCCCCCTCCCTTTTCATACTTCGTGACACACCGTGTCTCGACAGATCTATAACTTTTCTTTCTACAATACATATATCCCCATATCGGCCTTGAAGCTCTTGTTCATTATTTTCCGGCGGCTTATTGATCATGTATAGCATTCATGTCGAGTCTTGGTGACGAGACCAATAAAAACGTTCATCTTCTACCTGCTTTTTAGTGCATTACATCTATATTCATTTTAATAAGAGTTGTCTGCCTCTGGTCTTTGACGGCGTAGAAATTCAACAATCCAATGTATCTGCCTAGGTGATAGATTATATATAAGATCACTCTTCCATGTCTTTTCCCATATTGTTTTCAGACGGCTTTCTTCATACTATATACAACATTGTGTTGAGCCTAAACCGTATAGAGGACTTGTGTAGCCGTGAGATGAACGTTTATAGAAGACTTAATGTCGGGTTGCTACAAATGAACTGATTTGCAAAGTGGATTTATTCAAGTAGATGTGAGCAACCTAATAGCTTTGCAATTTACGGACGCGTGATCTTGTATCGATGTCATTCCACAGGAACCGTTCTTCATGCCTGGAACCCTGAGATTCAACATAGACTGCGGTTCAACCACCGGCTCGGGTTTCAGATGCATGTCTCATTGGAAGGCTAACAGTGAATATGGCTCAATCCGCCGCTTTTGATTTCGAATTAGTAGGCGAGAACTAGCTTCGTGCCTGGTATATGGGTTGGTGATGAAAAGCTCAATCCTAGTATTGGACGAAGCAACCAGCAGGGATACCGGGATATCTGACTATTCTGTGGATGATATTGTTGACTCATGCTATATTCTAGTGTGGTGCAAGCTATAATTGTGCGTTTGCATCTCAAACCATCATCGCTGTGCATTGCCGTATGTGGATTTGACCGCATCGCTTTGATGAGGTAGGGCCACTATTAGACATTGTTAGCCACGCGATCTGAGTTCCGGCCAGATGACGAGATTTCATGTTCATGTGGCCTGCTGTATATAGGATGGAGAGCTTTCATTGAGGTATGCTGGTGATGCTAATGTCTAATCATATATATAAGATTTTGAGACTAAATATAAGGATTTGAGACTATGGGTGTTAAATGGTCATGGCCCGATTTTAGAATTCTGCATGGACTAAGACAGGTTTGATGGAAATGGAAAGGTCTTGAATAGTTGGCCTTGTCATAGTAAGTCTGTAAGTCTGACCTGGGTTGCTTCCATGTCAAAGAGATCAGCTTGTGTAGTGCCCCCCGACATCTTCTCTTACCAACATAACTCTCCCTCTCCCTACGACTTTCCCCCCAGTCCTCATTCCCATTTTTGTTCTAACATCACTTGTCAGTGCAATCCACCATGCGAGGCGAGGTATGCATGCTCTAATATTCTGCTCGATTGCTACTTTTGTCTACGGTGTCGACCTGTCTATACACTATCCTCCCTACGCCAGGCTACACTGGCTCTCATTCACTCAATACCCAAGACCGAATCAAAAGAAGACACACTCACATTGACTTGAACCTACTAGATTTGTCATATACACATTGGCCAGGCCGGTACACAGCTTGGTAATGCTGCCTGGGAACTGTAAGTCTCTGCATTGTCTAGTATCCCCGATATCTCAGCTGATGAAAATGGAACCTAGGTATCTACTTGAACACGGTCTGAAGCCCGATGGCTTTATCGAACCCAATATTACCGAAGAAGCCGCAAAATGTGGATCTTACGAGACTTTCTTTACCGAAACCTCCAGCGGCAAATATGTTCCCCGTTCCATCTTCGTCGATCTTGACCCATCGGTATGTGACGGACCACAAATTTGTCAGGCCCACCAGCTGAATGAACTGTACTAGCCCATCGATGAGATTCGCACTGGTACCTACCGTGATCTTTTCCGTCCTCAGCAGCTGATCAGCGGCAACGAAGATGCTGCCAACAACTGTACGAACAAACCAACTTCGAGATGAAAACTAGGAACGGAGGGGCTAATATGCAGCAGATGCTCGGGGCCATTACACCGTCGGGAGGGAGATATCCAGATCTGTGATTGACAGTATTCGCTACGTGGCTGGTAGGAACCTGCTAACTTGAGCCTCAATCTGGTGGCTTTCGGCTAATGCCTCCATAGAGAACTGCCATTCTCTTCAGGGATTCTTGATTTTTCACTCCTTCGGTGGTGGTACAGGGTCTGGCTTTGGTTCGTTGCTGTTGGATCATTTGACAAGCATGTATGGGCGCAAGTCCAAGCTGGAATTCTCAATCTACCCTTCTCCACGTACATCGACTGCCGTGGTAGAACCCTACAATGCCGTCCTCTCAACCCACAGCACCATTGAGAACTCTGACTGCACCTTCCTAGTTGACAACGATGCCGTGTACGAGATCTGCCGACGGAACCTGGATATTCCGCGTCCTGGATATGAGCATCTCAACCGTCTTATTGCTCAGGTAGTGAGCTCCATCACATCCAGCTTGCGGTTTGATGGTGCACTCAATGTCGATTTGGCCGAGTTCCAGACCAACCTTGTCCCGTACCCGCGTATCCACTATCCATTGATTTCGTATGCTCCGGTGATCAACCGCCAGCGCAGTTCTCACGAGAGTTTCAAGGTCCAGGATCTCACCTTCCAGTGTTCGTGGATCTTTTTTCGATATGGTATATCTTTCTTCTGACTCAGTCATAGGCTTTGAACCCAACAATCAAATGGTGAACTGCGATCCACGAAAAGGCAAGTACATGGCCGTGGCTTTACTCTACAAGGGTGACGTTGTACCTCATGACTGCACTATGGCTGTCCACGCCCTTAAGACTCGGGGTACTTTCAGTTTGGTTGAGTGGTGTCCTACCGGATTCAAGTTAGGCATCAACTACCAAAAGCCCATGCGTCGTCCTGACGATGAGCTTGCGTGTGTCGACCGCTCAGTTAGTATGCTGTCCAATACTACTGCCATTGCTGAGGCATGGAGTCGCCTTGATCACAACTTCGATCTAATGTACTCGAAACGTGCGTTCGTCCACTGGTATGTTGGTGAAGGGATGGAAGAAGGTGAATTCTCTGAAGCCCGTGAGGATCTTGCGGCTCTCGAGAAAGATTATGAGGAGGTGGCCGAGGACAGCGGCCCAGAAGGGGTTGCGTACTGACCTTGTCTCTGCACTTGTCTTGTTGCTCCTTTCAGCACACATTCGAGGGAAGGACGGAGAATGTTAGCAAAACTGAGAAAGACCCAGAAAAAAAAGAACAAAATAAAACGAATGAGTACAAGAATAGTCGACAGCTTACGTGGCTTGATGTCTTTTTTCTAGACATTTCCTGCGTTATTGGTGTAGTGGCTAGAATATAGGCGAAAATGCTTAAAACGTGGAAATCGACTTTCTATTTGTGAGACTCGCCTTATTATATAACCAACTTTTTCAACCCTCTAGTGTTAACGCCATCAAATGATCCATGCAAAATTATTACTTGTTGATACAAGTTGAAGATCCCCTTCAACTGTCAGTTGCGACATTGAGCTCTTGAAGGATTTTCAATGTGTGCTCATAAGTCCACATTGTCACCGCACTTGCCGGCGCCGCCTTGAGTAAACTGACTGTCAAGCCGCGGTACATACCACGCACGCCCTGGGTGCGGACAATCATGGCCATACTTTGGAAAACTCCCTTGTACTCCGGGATATTGCGATGAACGTAGCGGGTCCTTGTTGGACCCTGTACTTGCAAGCGTTTACGCACGAGGTCTAATGGGAAAACACCTGTCTTAGCCAGGACACTGGCCGCCACACCGGCTGCAGCGTCCCCTGTACCCAACGGCAGAACATCCCAGGTCATCACAGGTCTGAGTGCCTCATATGCCGTGAAAAATAGTCCCATGTATGGCACAATTTGCACCACAGCCGCAGAACATCCCCGGAAGAATCCTGGTGCGCCCTCGTGTCGAGCGATTTCCACAATTGAGGCTCGCAGAGAGCCATACACGCGGTCCGGGCCTTGTGCGGCGAATCGCGTGCGGAGAAGGTCAAGCGGGTATGTTACTCCTGTGGCACATCCGCCTGCCAATGCACCCGAGAGAAAGGATTCGACGGGTTGGGGGAGTCGGTAGGAGCCGAGTTGAGCGAGGGCTTGGGTTGTTCCCCGATACGCGGTGAATTGAATGGCTCCGTAGCAGACATACATCATTTCGGCAGGAATATTACCTTTCCAGAGGCCCTGTGGGAAGAAATCCGAGTTAGGTCATTGGCATTGAAATTGAGAAGTGAGGTAATCTTTTCAACGTACAGTGATTCCCTCTTGCCTCATGATCGTCCGCATGGTGGACAATGTCCCCTTATAAATAGGTCCTTTGACACTGTGGTGGGACGCAGGGTCTGATAAGGAATGGATTTGCAACTGCAACCTGATCTTAACGACGTCCAGCGGCGCAATACAGAACCGTGAGATTAGCCCTGCAATGCCGCCGGCTAATACGACCTGTCGCTTGGTGCCTTCATCTTTGAGATGCTCGCCCCCGGCCGACATGAGTTGAGAGTAATTTATGTTACAGACTAAAGATGTCTGTATTGTTGGGTTAAGTTAAGAGAATGGTAGTAAGAAGATCCATGTTGATTCGTTGACTCTGCCTTGGAATGATAAAAAAACAAAAACAACGTCAAGGCAATTTACGTAAGTTCCGGACTGGCTCCGGGAATGTCATTGCGGGAAGAATGATATTCATGCCTGAGGTGTCATCTGAAGCCTGAGGTATTATGTTAATGCCTCAGGCATAAGAGTCACATTCAAGCCGAGGTAACGTATAGCTCCCCTCCATTTGTCCCCGCGCGTTGCTTGAGGTAGATTTTGCCCTTCCTCTTTACCCTTTCACTAACCATCCCTACTTCTGAACTGGTTCACAGGCCCTGCATGCATCGTCTCCAAACTTCAGCTACCGTCCGGCAATTGCCACGAGCGTTGTCATACTCTATCCTACGCCGTAACTTGATAGTTCCCTCTGATAGGTTCAACTGCCCTGTAGAGCCAGACTTTCATGACAGATTGGGACCTGATACCCCCAGAACCGACAATCCATTGCCTATATCACAAGAATCTAGCAACTCCACAGCTGATGTGCAGAACTCCACCACTGACGTGGTTAGAAGGAAAGCCCGTGTGGATGGCATCCTAAAAGTGGGCAAAAAAGAGTCGATCTGGGCTGGAAAAGAGGAATTGTACTTGCATTTGGATAAAAACACGACAATCAAACTGCCATATACTTATCTGCGCGATTCCTGCCAGTGTGGAGTGTGCAAGGATCAACACTCGAAACAGCGCTCGTTCCGCACAAGTGACATTTCGAAGGACATTGCTCCAAGCTGGGTCAACTGGGATGGGAGCAAGCTTTCAATCAGGTGGGCTAACGAAATTGGGGGGTCGACGACTGAGCATGAATCAACCTGGGACCGTGACTTCCTAAAAAATCCCATTTTCAACACCCATCGTCAACATTGGAGCGCGAACTGCAACCCGATCATATGGGGACGGGCTCAAATGAACAAAAGTCAACATTGGGTGTCTTATCCAGACTACATCGCCGACGATTCCAAATTTGCCACGGCGATGCAGCAGTTGCAGCGTCTGGGCCTTATTTTTGTAAAGAATATTCCAGAGTCACGATCGATGGTTGAAGCTATTGCAACACGCATGGGTCCACTGCGAAACACCTTCTACGGGTCAACATTCGACGTGCGCACCGTCCCACAGGCGACAAATGTCGCATATACAAACCAATTCCTTGGCTTTCACATGGATTTGATGTATATGAACGAGCCGCCGGGATACCAGCTCCTCCACTGCCTAGAGAACTCATGTTCGGGGGGTGAGTCGCTGTTTTCAGACGCATTCTCGGCTGCGAAACTCATGAAGGAGCGACACCCAGAAGAATATAAAGTGCTTCGCGAGCAGCGGCTGGGATACGAGTATAGACATAAGGATCACATCTACTACAACGAACGACCCGTCTTTGAGCATGATTTCTACACAGACGAGCTGCGCCACGTCAATTACTCGCCCCCCTTTCAATCTCCCCTCCCCCCACGCGACGGGAAAGGCCATGATGCTGAGCCTGTGAACAAGCTACGAGATGCCCTTGCCAGGTTCACTTCAATTATTGATAATCAGAAGCGCATCTTTGAGCTCAAGCTCAACCCGGGTGATTGTGTCATCTTTGATAACAGACGGATCCTTCATGCCCGCCGCCAATTCAATGCCAGCATAGGATCTCGCTGGCTAGCAGGCGCCTACGTGGATACCGATGCTCTGCTATCCCGCTTTGCTGTCTGTAAGAATCAACATCCATATGTTTGGACGAAGAAAGGCAAGAGAGACTTGGCGGCCAACAACGGAGACAATAACTAGGAAAGAAGCCAACCATAAGAAGAAGAAGAAGAAGAAGAAGAAGAAGAAGAAGAAGAAGACGAAGACGAAGAAGAAGAAGCAAGAGGCTAAGAGCATGACTGAAGAGGAACGGAACAAAGGTAGAGGGAGAACTAGAAATTGATCGGGTTCACGAGAGCAACAGAGAAGAGTACAGCTCCAAAGATAAAGATCGATTAACCCAATATCTGAATGTGCTCAAGTCTCGGCATCATCCCCATCCTTAGCAGTCGACTGAATATACGAATGTGACGTATTGTTGGTCTGAACTGTTTCGAGTTCTTGACCGATGATCCATTCCCTACATATATATCCAAAGGTTGTAAACGTAATGTATTCGTATTCTTGAAACCCGATCGTAGATTTAGTGCAAACACAGTTGGGGTACAAGGTAGGTTGGACCACCAGTGCCAGCCTCTTGAGGGTGCGTTGAATCTGTCATGGTCAACAGGGATGATCTGTGACGATGGATTGCTTTAATTCGACGCTGCTTATTTCAAATTATAGCAAGGGTGCGTCCCGCAACAATGAGACCGATACGATATAATCAGATATACATATAAGCCGCATCAAGACAAAAACGTTTATCATTATGTTAGACTTATAGCATCTAGCCCCAGAGACAGGGGGGTCATGGGTATCGTGCAACGATCAACCAACCACTCAAGCAGCCGTAGTGGGCTTGCTGACCGAGTGATCAGTGAGGAAATCGGGGTCGCTGTTGATTTCCTCGCGGACCTGTACCATTGAGTTAGTAATCGAATTAAACAATCGGCGTGGGGTGAAAAACGTACAATATCCAAGCCACCGACCAATTCTCCATTCACCCACAATTGGGGGAAAGTTGGCCACTCGGCATACTCCTTCAGACCCTGGCGCACATCCTCATCGGCCAAGATATTGAAGAAGCCGTACTTTACACTACGCTCGCGTAGAATGCCAACCAGCTGCCGACTGAATCCGCATTGCGGGCTGCTCGGGGTGCCTTTCATGAACAACATGACAGATGCTGCCTTGACCAGTTGTTCGAGGCGGGCAAATAGTGCCTCCCGGGATTGTTCGGGTGTCAGGGCGGGGGCAGACGCGACGGCGGTTGCGTTAGCCGCATCAGTGGACGGGGGCTCAGAAGCGGCAACGGGAGCCTGAGTAGCAGTGAAGGGACCATGCTCACGAGGAACAGCAGACAGCGGCGGGGGGATGTTGGCTTTCACACCTTCCATCGGACTGACGCCACCCGCATCATTTCCGCGGCCAGCGTGGCGCTCGACAGCGTCACGAACCTTGACGGCATCACTCCCACTGATCGATTCCAAAATTTGGCCGCTACGTAGACACACGACGAAGGGCACGGCAGAAACGTCATACTCCTCCGAGATATCAGGAAGCTCCTCGGCGTTGATGCTGACAAACGAGATGGTGGGCGGGGTGGTGGCGGGGTACTGCGAAGCGAGGGCTGAAAGCACCGCGCCCATCTGCGCGCACGGGGCAGCCCAGGGAGTGTGGAAGTATAGAACTACCAATGCAGAAGGTGATAGAGAAGAGAGATGCGACGAAAAGTCGGCCTCAGATGTGATTTCGGTGAGTGTCGACATGGTGGAGCGTGTGTGAAACGAGGATGAGACGACTGGAACTGATGTCAAATTTCGGAATCGACGGTGAGAGGTATCCTATGAAAGGTCCAACAAATGTCAAGGTGAGGTCGAAGTTGAGAGGCGAAGAAGACGTGTTAGAGGAATGGCGTGATAGATACCAAAATAAGCCCCCCTGCACGGCGATCCCAGATTTCCAATCTTCCGGTTATCAGATCGTTTGGCGTCTCTGGCGTCTCTAGCGTGCCGTTTATTCTTAGTAAGCCACACTGGTTTCGGTACCGGGAAAGCCCTTTTCCGAAGTCCACGTGACCTTATCGCCTATCATCCTGAATTTCCAGCCCGCGAGTCCGGCGAGGAAACTGCAAACCCGAAGACAACAACATGGGAAGAGATAGAAAGAGAAAGCTCAGCTCGGATGACCCGACTGGTCACCTTCCACCTCAGTCATTTGGTGTCGCCGATACCTTGTCCCGTCTACAGAGCGATAACCCGAGGAGCGAAGGTTCGAACGGTAGCCATGTCTCAAAAAAGCGCAAAAGAGTTGATGGCGAGAAAGTGAAGTACCCAGATCTCACATACGTCGATGGAAAATTAGTGTCCCCTATCCGAATTGCCGATCTGCAGGGGTTGCTCCTCTATTGCTTCGCTGATGGTATCGCACCGCAATGGATTTCTATGAAGCATTCTGGCCATGTACGCAAGGTGGTTGTACTGATGGTACCTGGCCTAGAGATGGGCATGTTTGATGGCACAATCTCCGTGCAACGAGAATCAGCCATCGAGGAACAAGAGACGCAAGATCCCAAGATAGATGCGCAGGGAGCCGCCAATGAGACACCCAAAGACGAACATGCTGCTGATTACGAGCGATGGAAACAGGGCCTCCCATTACCGGACCGCTCGCATCGCTTTAATCCTCGATCTATCACACGTGAAACCCTCCCTGAACCACTTCAACCCCTGGCCGATATGTTCCCCCATATCTGGCCTGTGAAGGCGCCAGGCGACAACAAATACAACAAGGTTCATTCACCATTGCAGGCAATTCTTATGTCCTCGCCCCCCAAGACCAAAAATGATGACTCCCGTGCGAAGGGCGCACGGCCCGCAAAAGTCGAGAAAGGCTTCGTCCCGAAACGAACACCAATCACAGCTTTTGTCACTTCGCGCGAGGATCTACTGGAAAATGACTTTATCTTGCATCCTGTTTTCTTTTCTTCCGATAACAAAAAATCTTCCCAGGTGGAGGCTCGTCAGCGAGGCGGGCAATCGGTGGAAGACGGATGGGTGGATACTCATGTTCCATCTCTGGAGTCTGCTCAACCACCTGATGCTGAAATTGAAAGCGGCAGTGTTACTGATGGTCGAGATGTTTTTGCGCTGGACTGTGAGATGTGCATTACCGAGGGTGGTCAGTCCGAACTCACACGCATCAGCATGGTCGGTTGGGACGGCGAGGTGGTCCTCGATGAACTGGTCAAACCAGCACGGCCAGTGATCAACTATCTTACACGTTACTCTGGAATCACCCCAGAGATGCTTGAGCCCGTCACCACAACCCTTCATGATATTCAGCAACGCCTCCTGACTCTTCTCACACCGCGAGCGATACTTGTGGGACACTCCCTCAATTCCGATCTTACCGCACTCAAACTTGTCCACCCGTTCATTGTCGATACGAGCATCATTTACCCACACCCACGTGGTCCCCCACTCAAATGTAGCCTCAAATGGCTTACCCAGAAATACCAGAACAAGCAGATACAAAATGGCATGGCTGGGCATGACTCCATTGAGGACGCCCGTGCTGTTCTTGAACTTGTAAAGTTGAAATGCGAGAAAGGCGAGCGATGGGGCACGAGTGATGTTTCCAACGAGAGCATATTTCGTCGACTATCGCGCTCTACCCGACCGAGTCATCTCCCTCGTCCCGGCGAGGAACGAACAGGAGCTGTGGTTGACTGGGGCAACCCAGAACGTGGGTTTGGTGCCCAGGCAACTGTCTCGATTGGATGCCGGGATGACGATGCAGTTGTCGCTGGTGTCTCAGCAGTAATCAATGGCGATGAGTCCAATCCCTCCATCCCAGGAAGTGGTGTTGATTTTGCTTGGGCTCGCATCCGTGATCTTGAACATCATCGTGGTTGGTGTAGCCGTCTCCCCGATCCGAACAACGCCAACGAGTCCACAACCCTTTTCCCTCCCCCTGAAGAAACTACACCGACCACAACCACTGGCAATGGGCACTCGACAGATCTACCACAGCCTGACGTTTTGGCTGACACTGTATCCCGAACTGTCTCTAACATTTCGCGCATTTATGAATCCCTCCCTCCGTGTACGCTTTTCATTGTTTATTCCGGAACAGGTGATCCACGTGAAGTGGGCCGTTTACAATCCATCCACAAGAAACACCGCGAAGAGTTCCGGTCTGGCAAGCCCTGGGATGAGCTGACATACAAATGGACCGACGTTGAGGAACAGGCTCTAAAGAAGGCCTGTGAGCGTGCTCGCGAAGGTTGCGGTTTCATGTGTATCAAATGATTTATCTCAGGCTACGTATGCCCATACTTCGAATGTCTTCTCGCCAAGACGATGATTAGTATCCCGATTTCATCCCCCGTTGTATCACGATCCGCTCACGCTGTTACGGTGAACTCGAAATGCACGTTTCATCACAAAAAAAACCTTTCCAAGAAGAAACAAACCCAACGGCCCAAAATGGATATGTAAAACCAACTCTAGAAAGAGGAATTGATAGAATCCACATTTCATCCCTATATAATGTGAAAAATCACCAACGTAACTTGAAATGCAGCCTTGAAAGTCCTAACACTTTGTACATTATACATTACCTTGAATATCGGTTATAAAAGACCCCACCGGACTTGGTGGGGCGGAAGTGGGAGTCCCTGGAGATTTCTCCCGACACCAACCGAGACCAAACCTCTCACACTATGAATCCCTTCACACGGGCAACTGCAGCCTGGCACTTGGTTGGCCTTGCGTCCGAGTTCCCAAGCATCGATGATGACAACAGGATTGTACCAAGATGCAAGGCTTTCAATATTCCCAAGACAAATGGCGCCATAAAGCCCGTCGAAGATATTGACCTACCAGGAGAACTGAAGGACCAAGTCCTTGTATTCAAATACAAGGGCAAATACCATGCCATTGATCATGTGAGTTAGAGAGGTTTCTTCTGTTTCTTGTAGTCGGAATGGTTGGGCTCATCCTTTCTAGCAATGCCCCCACTCGTCTTTCCCACTTTCTCGGGGCAACCTCTTTGATATTGAAGACTTTGGTATCGTTCTCAGCGCGGGTCTCACATGCCCCAAGCATGGCTGGTCATTTGATATATTCTCTGGACGCGCTGATCGCGGCAATTACACACTCAAGGTGTGGGAGGTGCAGCTGCGCGACTCATCGGCACCTGAGAGTATGGACCAAGAGGTTTGGGTGAGGCGGAAACAAAGAATTGGTTAATACTAGCCACCATTTCTTGGTATATCAGAAGAAGTGCAGCTAGGCTGAGTTGACCCGAGTAGGGTCTTAGCTACAGTTTGACACCACTGTTCCTTCTCGCCTAAAGATATCTTGGAACTGCCCCAGAACCACGGGGATTCCCCTCAAGTGATCAAATCCAATATTTTCAAGCTACCCAATTTCTTGTCTATCCAACTGGCCAAGTGAAAATATTCATATGGGTAGCCTCTCAATTCCTGATTGGGATTTTGGCGTGAATTCGGCCCATATATCAACTTTGTGGAATTCCGACAACTTTCCTCTTTCGATAATTGCAAAAACCTCGAAGTCCTTTTACGGAGGAAAGTTGGAGAGGGGAGCAAAGAACATGAAGCTGATTCATTTGGGTGGTTGTAACTATCTGTTGATATCCCCGACGCCTGTTTGTTAAGGCCTCATGTAGGGCCTATAAAGGGCCGATAAAGGGCCATTTGTTCATGAATCAAAGCAAAATTACTATCCCTTTCTCTCCTGCTCTTAGTCGCCCAAGGGTACCTCGTTTGGGATCTTGTTTGGATGGCTTGTTGCCCGGAATAGTGACATAGTGGTTGGAGGATCCGCATCCCCATGTCAGCGCAATATTTATATTGGCAACAGCATTTAGAACTCGCATAGACTGCTAGGGGATCTTGAAGATTCTTTATATACGTAATCTTCCTTGGTGTAGGAGTAAGAATATTTTGCGTTAGAAAATGTTCCAAAGTCATAGATGCATGCATGTACCGAGGAATCTCTCCCATACATAAACAGTCCAAGGTTGTTCCGATTACTAGCGAAGGCTACCCATTTTTTACTGAGATTCATTATCGAGTAACATTTTTTAGACATACTATCTTGTAGTTCGACATATTGTTACTCTGCGATCAAACTTCACTTAGCTGTTGCCCTGCTTCTCAGCCACACCCGCATGTACCCCGGGGCTCTGCTGAATTTTGGTTTCCAACAATTTCTGAGACGAGTGCCCAGGTGCTCGGGTTATCTTTAAATAATGGAAGCTATTGGGGCAGCTTCTGCCATCCTCGCAATTGCAACAGCCGGAGTGCAATGCTCCGTGAAGCTCGTGACTTTTGCAGGGCAGGTCAAAACAGCGCCGGAGCAGATTACCATGGTTGCTGAAAATGTGTCCTTGAGTGCCAGTATTCTACAGCAACTGGGCGAATTGGCGACGGAGAATATAGAAAATGAACATCCGACCCTAGACGGCCCCAATGTGAAATCAGTTCCCGATACCAAGACAACAATGTCAAAACAGAGCATCTTCAACACCACCGGGCTGAAGACAGTCATGAAGCTGGCCAAAAAAAAAAAAAAAAAATGCGAAGAGATATTTGAGTCCCTGGACTAGTCCTTACGCAAAGCCAGCAAACAGTTGCATGCGAAACCTAGAATATCGGGCAAGGTAAAACTGAGCCGCGCAGAAATGTTCAAATGGCCGTTCCTACTCCCGGCAATGGATACGCTGCGGAACGAGCTCAGGAATGTTAAGGGGACTTTGATGTTGATGCTCCAGGTCGCTATGCGGCTTATTCGAGAAGGATGATGGGGGAGTGAGTCACCCTTACTTTCTTCTGTGGAATATTTTTGAGGTCTATTGCTAATACAGGTAGATACGGTGAAAATATTCAGCGCACAACGGCAATTGTTGCCTACTCTAGAGAGGATCAGGAGTTCCTGGTTCGGGCTATTGTTGCTGCCCAGAAAGCTCAATTGGGTAGTCCTGGAAAGGAACAGCCAGAAGCTTCAAATGTTGAATCCGTTAAGGAACCACCATTGGAAAAGGAGCAGCCCCCTCGGTTTTCCCAAGTTTCGGGGTCATTTAATCACAACCTATTTACCACGGATCGCGGACTAAATGGCACAGCGGTCACTGCCCAAGAGTAGGTGGATCTTGTGGATTTTAGATTTTTTAATGGGTTAAAATTAACGCGGTGCAGGGATCCAGATCCAGAGCTTATATAAGGCCGACATGGAGGCGCAGGGATTCCGGCGACCTCACGAGTTAGGGTACACCAAGGAGGAGGAGGAGGAGGAGGAGGAGGCGATCCTTAATCGGAAGCTAGCAGTTGTAGGGGGGGGGGGGGAGAAGAAGGAGGAGAAAGACGAGTGGAAAGAGACGCGAGAGAAGTATCAATTCGAACAAGCAGAGGGCGAAGATGATGATGCCATGTCAGAGAGCGAAGGTGCAGAAGGCATTATTGATGCTCTACCGTCCAGATATACGATTTGACCTTACCCATCGAAGATATCTGCAGTCTGCAGTCGTCCAGTGATTGTAGAGCGCTGTGTGTTTAACCTGTTTCCTCAGGCCACATCCCCGATTCGGTAATTAATCATTTCCAAGGTTGTTCCCGCATGAAGGAGAATAACAGCATAACACTCTCTCATTTTTCAATGCCCTACACACTTGACTTAGTTGTAAGTAGATTTCCCAAAGCGAAGTGTACCCGGTTCGACCTCGGCGTGCTGTTCAGCTGGTATGTACGTAATGATGCATCTACGGCTTCATATCACTTTTTATTTTTCAGTTCTTTTCCAACCGTTTTAACGTAACTGTTTTTTTTTTTTCCTAATTCTTTTTCATTACCTATTTCGTATTCTTTTTATTCATCCCTCCGCACAGTCTACTTTGAGCTTTCTACAAGTTTCTTCATGTTGCACGTGGAGAATGGCGCCAACATTCCAACTGCCTGCCAGGCAACCTCCATCCACTAGTGGGGGGTTGATCGCTACATACTATGCAGTAAATCTGTCGGATTCCCGACCAAATTCCAGCTAAACTTTGTACTTAATTGGCAATCTGTTTATGTTGTATTGTACAAATAAACTCACTCCACCTTCTCTGGACGTATCCCCCTCCTTCAATAACTCGAGTCTCTTTTCAGACAACCATAATGCTTCTCACACTCATTGGATGTGCAATCATTTACCTAGCCGCGGTGGATGCGAAGAACCGGGATACCTCACCCTCATATGATTTTGTTATTGTTGGCGGGGGTACCAGCGGATTGGCGGTTGCTAACAGACTCTCGGAGATGAGAGGTTTCACCGTCGCAGTGATCGAAGCTGGAGATTCAGTCCTCAATAATATTAACGTTTCTGCTGTGGCGGGCTACGGTCGAGCATTTGGGACGGATATTGACTGGGCCTACCTAACCGAAGACCAAACATACGCGGGAGGATCGAAGCAGATTATCCGTGCTGGAAAGGCTATTGGTGGTACAAGTACTATAAACGGTAACCTGACCACTTAAATCTTGGCCGTTCAGTGGAACGAACCTGTGCAAATCTATTGCGCCTATGCTAACCCGGCGTCACATAGGGATGTCGTACACTCGAGCGCAAAAAGTTCAAATTGATACCTGGGAACGAGTCGGAAACAAGGGCTGGAATTGGAACAACCTTTTCACATACTATAAGAAATCACAGCAGTTCCAGGTGCCCACACCCGAACAAACTTCTCGTGGGGCGGATTATTACATCGCCTATCATGGGGAACATGGCCCGCTCAAAGTCGGCTGGCCTCGTGCAATCACAAACGGCAGTGTGTTACCTGCGGTTGATGAGACGTTCCAGCAACTGGGCCTTCCTTATAATAGGGATTGCAATGGTGGTAGCATGGTGGGACTTACGGTCCACCCAAACACCGTCGACAGCGAGGCTGATGTTCGCCATGATGCAGCCAGAGCTTACTATTGGCCCTACGAAACCCGATCTAATCTCAAGATTATCTCCAACAGTCATGCCAATAAGATCATCTGGGCAAACGATTCCAGCAGCGAGGCTGTTGCTATTGGAGTTGAAGTTACTGGGATCAATGGAGTTGAGACGATATACGCTTCAAAGGAAGTAATTATATCGGCTGGGTCCCTCGGATCGCCTATTCTTCTGGAACTGTCTGGTATTGGAAATCCTGATATTCTCCGTCGGTTTGACATTCCTGTACAAGTCAACATTTCCACTGTTGGTGAGAACTTACAGGATCAGACCAACAGTCGGTTCTCCTATGAAGGGAACGAGTTCTGGCTTGGCTCGCCGACCCTTTCTGCCCTACCATCCGCCGGTCACATATTCGGTGATAATGTTCTCGCTGTTGCGTCTCTTGTCAACTCAAGTCTCGCAGAATATGCAAAACAAGTGTCAACAAACTCCAACGGTGCAGTCCAAGAAGCCAATCTTCTAGCTGCTTTTCAACTCCAGCACGATCTAATATTCAAATCACAAGTTCCATATGCGGAGATTGTGTTGCTTCCCATCGGACACTCGTTTTCCAGTGAATATTGGCCTCTTCTCCCTTTCTCGAGAGGAAGTATCCACATAAACTCCACAGACGGTTCCCAACCTCCTTCTATCAATCCCAACTACTTCATGTTTGGGCAGGATCTGAAAGCCCATGCTGATGTGGGTCGATATATCCGCAAGGCATTCAGTACTGCCCCCCTGAGCAACCTCGTTGGAGAAGAAGTGGTGCCAGGAGAGCAGCATGTTCCAGAAAATGCGTCTGACTCTACATGGAAGAGATGGGTTAAGTCAACATGTTAGTATTGCTTCTTCGCGTCAAGCTAGAGCTCGAGAAGATTGACTGACCCCCTTCAGATAGATCAAACTTCCACCCAGTTGGCACTGCCAGCATGCTGCCTCGGGACAAAGGTGGTGTTGTCGACCCCGAGCTCAGGGTTTACGGTACTCGAAATGTCCGAGTGGTTGACGCTTCTGTCCTGCCCTTCCAACTTTGTGGCCACTTGACAAGTACTCTTTATGCCGTGGCCGAGAGAGCGTCGGACTTGATTAAGAAGGGATACATTTTTTAGGTGGACTTTCGAATACAACAGGGGAGGATCAAGTGTCACTGCACACATCGATCCCCAAAGTAAATTGCTTTTGAAATAACTTGGTTTCATTTGCTAGGTGTTGACGGCTTTATAACTACCGTCCTGGCTTTGTACATTAGTGAGATATAATCTTTTGCTTGGGCCATGTCATTATAATCGACAGGATTCGGGTTTAGAGGCGTGCGCTCGTCCACGTCTAGTGCATACTAAAGCGAAGGGTGAGCAGTGTTCAGAAATATATCATTCATGATGATCTGGGCGAGCTCAGTCTGACAAATGACGCGCTCGGTGGACAATTCAAAAGACTCCGGTAATAGGTTGCCCTCGAAATTCAGAAGAACCATGTGCTTTACCAACATATAGGCTTCCGCACGACCCATTCTGGGGCCTAGGTCTCGACTCAAAACCCAACCTAGTCAGGGGTTCGTATTCGATACACTTGCTCATTATATTATTTACACCTGTAAGGTAATTACAAAAGTTCTCTCCCACCTGCACAACCACCGCTCTGAGACAGATAAGCCACAATACTTGGAATACCTGTAAGTACCAGCCCCTAGCAGTAACCTTCGGGTTCCTTTGTTGCCTTTCACAATTTGTTTCTCAGGTACAAAGGTCATCGTTATTGATAGGCCTGTTCCACCAAGCCTTGGAACGATTCACTAACAAAACAATCATGATCATTTTTTCCATTCGTGAGACAGAAGAACATAGTTTCATGTTTGAAAGATGCATTGCATTATTGAGTGATCGAGACAAAGGCCTCAGAAGTGTTACGTGTGGCGCTGAACATCTAGGGCCACTTAAAAGCAAGATGAATGCAGAGGAGTACCGCCTATTGCGATATCCAAGTCGCTATCGAGTGCATCATCTGGAACGAAGCCATCCAAATTCATATGAGATACACGCAAGGTGGGCCTTTCTCAAGAAGCATTTCCTTCATTAGCTGGAAGCTATGAGTATTTTCGGTGGTATTCCAGAGGCTGCAAGGGAACTATCGTGCAGCGGAAGTACGTAAGTCTACACAGCATTCTGATAATATCTTACTAATAATATCGGTAGCATCCATGGATAAGACTGCCATCAAGGTACCCCGGTTTGTGTATGAGGTATACTATATGAAAATGCATATTACGCTTAGTCATTATATCCGCACACCTGAGATTGTTGAAATAGGTTTTGTCATTTCAGTTCGAGAATGACGGACCACTGGATCATACCCATACATTGTCATACCACAAATTTCTGTTAAAATCAACCAATCTACTTCAATGCAGCCATCACGGGCGACGTATCAGACCAAACAAAACTAAGTGACAAACGCGGATGTCCCTCATAGATAATATCCTGGTCAACCAACATACGAGCCGCATACTCATTCGTGATCGATTTTCCATTTTTAAGCCCCAAATCGACTTCACCGATAAGCATGAGATCGTGTCCGCCCTCGTCGGCAACAAAAACACGTTTGATGCGGTGGCGACGGGAGGTTATGGCCCCCCAAGCGTTGAGTTTGGACTTTTTGATTTCTAGAGAGATGAGTATGGCGCAAGCCAAATTTGAAGCGCCCAATCACATACCATCTGTCCCCACGTAAAGGTCTGCGGGGCCGAATGGACCTTTCATAACCCCCGTTGGGGTGAAGATGTCAGCAGCATATTGAACTCCAGCCTGTGGATCGGGCAGATCGGCCAAGACATAAAAGTGGCGGATAAGATCTTGGATCTCGGGCTTCAGGAGAGTGGCTGTTGGCCAGACGGTGTTCTCCGTAATGTAAGACATAGTAAGTTGGGTTGTGATTAAATTGTCGGAATTTCACAGAAAGCGTCAATAAGGTCAATAATTACTTATTTATTCATATTAGCTAGGTCATGACCGCTGACAGTCAACACGCAAATCAACGTTTTGATAGGATGATAGTCGCATCCGATCCAGTGCGGATTTAGCGTTGATCTCGGGCTCCGGGCCAACTTGCCGACGGAGATATCGGATCCGATGCGACCCGACTCGACGAACGGATATGCCAGTCAGGGAAACAGGTCCAATGGGTTGTGTCAGACTGTTGATGCGTAGTCCACCACTGGTGCCTCACAGGCCTGTCGCATCGTGGGTAATGCCGCTGCTAAGGTTTAGAGAGTGGAGCAGAGTCATCGATCAACTACAAGCTACTATACCATTAAAATTAACTATAGCCAGCTCAAGGCACATTGAGGCTACTGGAATATGTCAGACTAGGATATGGCCCCCCCTAGGCCCTAAACAGGAACCGAGGTTTTTTTGTTATGGTCTAGTGGTAAAATAGTCTGTATTTTTCCCACAGAATATACAACATGGAAGAATATAGGCCAACAAGAAAAAAAGGAATAGCTTAACCATAATGTCTGTACAGGCTTTCTCTCCAGGCCGAACAAACTGGCAAGATGTATTTTTCTAACTGTACCTAGGACGCGCTCTGCACGTCTGGCATTATCTATAAATCGTATAACGCCCAATCTACGTAGTAGGAGGGACTGGCTATTATAACATAACTAACGGCCACAAAGAATTGATTTCCTCCACCAAGGCATTCACGTCTTTTGCCTTGAGCGGGACTCGATGCTCCCCATCCCACTCAACCAGCTGGGTGTATCGCAGGTCGAAATATTCATACAATAGCTTCTGGTGGAGGTCCAAGTTTGGATCTCTTATACCATGAACGTGAATTGTGGGTACTTGTATGAGTTCCCGAGTTAGAACTAAGTTTTTGGGCCACTTTGGGTCATTCTGACGATCAGAACCGTCGTTCTCCCATAAACTACCCATTCTATGAAAGAGGTCTGCTTCAACCGATTGTGGCGAGAGTGTGACAAGTGGACCGCATCCCGCGAGAAGAACCGCGAACCGCCATCGCGGGAACGAATTAACCCCACAGCCCTCTATCCCACGAGCCGATCCACCCCGGCTCATGAGCTGCTGTTCCAGAATCAGACTGGCACACACCTTGGCTCCCTGGCTGAACCCCAGAAGGCCTACAAACGGGCCCGTTGCGTGCTGTCGGTTATCTTCAGCTATAGCTTGGGCAATGGACTTGTGCAACGCCTCGGATGTGCCGCGAGGATTTGTGTCCGTGGGGTCAATCCACGCACGGAAGGGTCCAAAGTCACGGTACACGGCCGTGACGTCTGATCCTGGTTGTGAGGGGAATATCCCTTCTGCGTAGCAAAGTCTGAACCATGGACGAAGAGCTTGCTCGAGGGCTCGACATTGTGCGTGGAATATGCGGGCGTTTGTTCCCCCGCCATGCAGACAGAGAATGCGTGGCAGGTGCAGTGTGCTGTTGTCCACGGGGATGTGACGTGCATGGCGAGTCATTGTGAAGCAGCGGCATCAAAGGAAGCATCGGAACTGCCAAAATCTAGCTGATTTTATGCAAGGCTAACTATATAGTCTTCTGGAAGGTAAGTATATCTAAATTATTATTTCCAAAATTACTGTTTAGGTCCCGTTGTCTATGCGTGACAGCTTGTTTCGGTAGCGTAATGCAGGGATGTAGATCCAGATGCTTGATCATTCTTGTTAATTCTATTCGAGAACCTGACAAGTTCATTTGGATGGTAAGCTGCACAGACGCCGGATCGGAGACTCGGTCCGGGTCGAGTCGGTCCCGAAATAGCAGGATCGTCGATCGCTGGAGTAGATCGGGCACCAATGGAGACCGATCTCGGTGTTTTATTGTTTACGGTTTATCCCCGTCGAGTATGATTGCTATTGAAAACGAAGAACATGCATAAACATACAATGTCAGGCATGAAGAAGAGATAAGTGTCTCGGTATTTCACTTTGCTTCTCCCTGTCACTCTTTGTTTTCGAAACGATTTTTGTTTTTCACCTTCCAACCGAAAGCGGAGAATGCCACCTATATTCCTACCTCTCGAGCAGGCCCTCCCCTCTCATCATGATCTCTTCTACAATGGCGCATGGCGGAAACCCCTTGCTAGCACCTACAATGATACCTTGAACCCAAGCACGGGCAAGCCGATTACCCGAGTTGCTCAGGCCAGCGCAACCGACGTTGATGCAGCAGTAGAGGCCGCACATGAAGCCTTCCTCTCATGGCGCAAGACGACGATAGCGGAGCGGCAGGCGTGCCTGCATCGCGCGGGCGCCATCTTGCGCGAGCATGCGGGTGAGCTGGCGCTGGCCGATGCAGTAAACACATGAAATCCAGTAACCGAGATGCTGGTGGACGCAAACCGCGCGGCTAACAGTCTCGATTACTTTGCCGGTCTCATTCCCATGCTGCGTGGGGAGACGTTGCCCGGCCCCTTCCCCGCAGATGCCTATCTCCACTACACGGTCCGCGAGCCGATCGGGGTGGTGGCGCGTTTCATGGCCTCGAACCACCCGTTTATGTTTGCCGGTTCTCGCATGGCCTCAGTTATTGCCGCTGGTAATACCGTCGTTGTCAAGCCGCCCGACCAGGCCCCGCTGTCGGGTCTTCGGCTAGCAGAGCTGCTCGATGGTGTCTTTCCACCAGGCGTGCTGAATATTCTACCCGGAGGACCCGAGTGCGGCCAGGCGCTCGCTACCCACCCTTTGGTGAAGAAGGTCACACTCATCGGCAGCGTTGCCACCGGCAAGGTGATTCAGCGTGAGGCCGCCGACACGCTCAAGCCGACCCTGCTTGAGCTTGGCGGCAAGAACGCGCTGATCGCCTTCCCAGACGCGAACCTAGATCAGCTGGTTCAAGGTGTGGTGAGTGGGATGAACTTTGCCTGGGCAGGTTCTTCGTGCAACCGACAATCTTCACGGACGTGTTGCCACACATGCGTATTGCTCGTGAAGAGATCTTTGGCCCCGTCATGTCGGTCTTCCGATGGACCGATGAGAGCGAGATGCTCCGGATCGTCAACTCAACCAGCTACGGGCTAACCGGGTCAATCTTTACTCGTGATCTAGCCACGGCGCAGCGCATGATCAGCCAGGTAGAGGCTGGCTTTGTCTGGGTGAATGAGGTGGGTAAGCATTTTCTTAATGTGCCGTTCGGTGGTGTCAAGGAATCTGGGAACGGGCGCGATGAGTGTTTGGACGAGTTGCTGGCCTTCACGGCTGTCAAGAGTGTCAATATCAAGCTTCAGTAATAGGACTGACAGGTGCATATGACTTTCGAAGACTGGAATTATCGAAATAAGGAGGGTAGATTCCTGTTAGAGTACTGGTACATGCAGAGCAATGAAATTATTTAGGTCTGTTTTACTTCTCAACTGTAAGTACAGCTATGTATCGAACACAAAAAGGTGCCATCATTCGCTTGTAGAAACTGGCACCGACTAGGGCTTCTTCATAAACAGTTAGGGAAAGGTCCATGGTTCGGCCACGCACCGGGTGCCTGAGGAAGAGAGTTGCTAGGATCTGTCAAGCGTAGCAAGGTCCCCAGTGATCGGGATTCATGAGTGGAAAGCTCAAGGGTATATCCAGTTGAATTCTAAGGATGAGAAGAAAAGGTGGCTAACGTACAGGTGAAGGCGTTCCAGAGACTAGGCACATGCTACTAGAATCATCAACGTAGCTTCATATTGGTTATGTAAGAATATGACCATAAGAAGATGCGGAGATACTGTGAAGAGAGATCAATCTGTCAGAATGGATGCATTACTACTAAAATTCTAGCACCAGGGAGGGGGGGGGGGAGAGGGGAGAGGAAAGAAGAAAGATAATGGTCACAGATAGAAAGTGAGATTTCAAGACTTGAAAGCAAAGAAAATTTGCTCTAAAGTCATGTTTCCTCTTCTACCCCCCCCCCAATAAACGAATTTGTAAGGATGTGAACTATAATTCGAACTAAATACTTTGGAAGTCATTGTGGCTATCCATTTACCTCTGTAGTTATTGGCCGTCACAGCTGAGAGGCAACTCTGATATTGACAGAAAAGGAGAATTGCCAATGAACAATTTGTTTGCAGGGCTGAATCGACGAGTAAATTAGTCGAGTCTAATTGCTCAATGAATCTTAAATGGCATCCAGATCTGTGTCTCGGTCCGAAGAAAACCAGTGGCGGAGAGGGCAATTTTGGTATAGACACACCTCTATCAATCCGCTATCTCCGCTGTTGGTCGTGGTTTTCAATGACCATGTACTGAGGGCTGAGACCATTTACCGCGTGCTCGAATGCCAGGCCCATACACGTAAAGAACAAATGGGATTGGGATGAGGGCGATGCCCACGAAACCCAACAGACTTGACGCCCAAGGAACTCCCATGCGACGGTACATGATGGTTGCGAAGAGTGGGAAAGTACCACCGAAGATGCTGCGCAGGAAGGTATTGACCGCAATGGCACTGGCAGAAAAGCGAGTGAAAGTGTCTACCAGGTAATTCAGGGAAGACTGGAATATGGTGAAGAATCCCAACCCCATGGAGACAGCTCCTATCACTGGACACAGCCAGAATATGTTCTTGGGACTCGTCCAGCCGAGAATGAACATGCCAGCGGAAAAGAAGACGGAGCCAAGCATCATGGGCGGGAGCCGCGCCTCGGGTACAGCGCGATTGCCGTTTGCACGGAACTTTTTGATATAGAATTTCTGGTTGAGGAGGTTGACAATCGCTCCGAGAATCATACCGGTTAGAATTCCTAAGAAAGGCAGGTTTCCAACGAGCGGGTTCCACCCTCGAGTCTCTTGGAATTCGACCGGGAACGAAGCAAGACTGAGATAGAGGATTCCGTACACGAATGATGCATACAGAGCGACAAAGAAGCAGATAGGCGTGACCAAGAGACGGAACGGCCGGAAGAGATACTTGTCAGCCATATCCTTGAGGCTATGATCCATTGCTTCATGGTGGGCGTGCAAGGCCCAGTTCCCGGTGGTGATACGCAATCTTCGAGCCTTGTGGACCAGCAGCGCTGGGGGATAGGTTTCATCGAGAAATATGACGCCCAGAGTCAACATCAGCAGTTGGAGAATGCCGGTGATCTGGATAGTAGTCAGTAAAACAACTTCCAAGCAGGCAAAGCATCCATTTCATCAACTTACATACTCCGTCCATCTCCACCCAAGATAGCTGTCAACAATCGCACCGCCGGCAATCGGACCCAATACTGGTCCACCCACCAAAGCCATCGCGTACGCCACGATCGCAGCTCCCCGTTGTTGAGGTGACCAGATGTCTGCCAATACACCGCCAGTATTGGTGATGGGGGCACCGCCGAAGAACCCGGCAAAGAACCGGGTGATCATGACACTCTGGACATCTTTGGATACGGCTGTTGCAAAGGAAAACATGATCGAAATGAAATACGGAACTAGAACCACTTTTTTCCGCCCGTAAAGCTCGGACAATGGTGCCCACAGGATAGGTCCCAGCCCGAAGCCGAACAACAGCATACTTGTACCGAGTGTGGCAGTGATTTCACCGATATGGAATTCTTTCGCGATGCCCGGGATGGCGGGCGAGTATCTAGCAAGATATTAGTATGGAAACACTGGTTTCAATATTTCAAGAGTATCTTACATTGAACTTGCCCAAGTGGCACCTAAGTTCCCAAGGATAGTCAGCAACTAAACAAAAGAAAGAGACAATGCATTTCCAAATCACTTACCCATGGTAGTCATTCCATAAAGAATGGTGGTGAGGGCCTTCTTCCTAAAACTCCAATTGATCGGGCGATATGGATCATCAGGCCCGTCAAAGTCGACAACAGTATCATCGGCGGACTTGATATGACTGACTGGGTGAGTGAAAGCGGCTGTTTGGCCAGGTTCACGCAGTCGAACCTTCGACATAAACGACTGCTTAGGCAGGGGCTTCTCCGTCGTTGTAGGCTCCGTAGCCTGCGTAGGCTCGGCTTTTTCTGGATCTTGCGTTGACATTATGAAGGAACCTTGTAGTGGAGAAGCTAGTTAGGTTAGAAAATTTAAAGCCCGGAATATATATAAGTTTGGCGGATACATCCACTTTTATAGTTCGATGGATTTATTAAGGAATCTGAGCTTGTTTCCAAAGGTTGATTCGGTCCTATCTACCATATTCAGTAGTGAAGTCCGAGGGCAATGGTGGGGCAGGGTGCCGCTAAAGTCCGAATCCGAGAGCTTCCGGAATCAAGCCTTCTCGGGATAACGGCAGGGACCACGGGTGGGCTCTCGAATGGATACAGGTCTACATGTCTACAGGCTCCACCAGATGTTGCACCACATCCAAGCAATTTTGGAATTGGTTTGTTTTCTCGGCCTCGGAAACGCAACCGTCCCTCGGCCATAAATATGTGGAGTCCTGTAGATCTAAGTACAAATAGTAGTCCCTTTATCCCTGCAAATTCGGGTTTAGGCAATGAATAGATATCCTCCGAGAACACACCATCGCCACATGGGTCTAGGCTTGTCAATCCCAAGGTCGATCTGTCGGCTGGCATATGATGCCCGTACTACCAATCTAAATTCACTCTTTGACCGAGATTTATCTCCGTAGACTTCTTCCATATGGGGTTGCCAGATCAAGCGATGAACTCCGAATAGACTGTAGAAAATACTCTACTCGGATTGATTTTCTGAATTGGGATTTCCCGGCGATAGCATGGAGATCCATCAATAGCCTCCTACGTCTGGTCCCCTCTCATCACGCAAGGACTGTGGTCATATACGGATCGAATTTCTCCGTCAAGACTTTCTGATCTTTCCAAATCCTGTCTAGCTACTACGTAGGTGGCTTGCCTTTCGCGACTACTCTTTGAGTGTCGCCACAAAACTGTCTCATTCATTCCCTGCAAGCTCGGGATTCGGAGATGATAGCTTTTATCTAGGTTCTACCTAGATATATCGTATCTATAAAGGATCCGAGCTGGGAAATCCCGCATAAATTTTATCTACTTCAGACTCGTGGCTCCTGAATCGATAGAAAAATATTTTCTCGATAATTTGAGCTCTCCACTATTAGAGCACCCTACTTGCATTCTGCGGAAATGGCGTCCTACCCTCCCCAAGCTTGCTGCTACCAAGGGTTCAAACATGATGGGCGGCCACAAGGTTCATTATCCATGCTGAATGACGTTGAAGTCTACACCAGTCATCCCCATACCAAGTCAACGGAAAATGGGATTTTGATGTAAGTCCTTAACAGGATTCCCCTCCAGGTTCACTATTTCTCACTTTTGATAGCCTCACGGATATCACCGGCCATCGTGTGCCAAACGCTCAACTCATTGCAGATCAGTTTGCCATGAATGGGTATTTTGCTATTATACCAGATCTGTTTTACGGTGATGCTGTGCCTTTGAACAAGCCGGGGGAATTCGATATGCAGAAGTGGAGAAACGGGGGATATCACCCGGAAGGAAAGAACCATCTCCCCCCGACTGTGGATCCGATTGTGGAATCCTGCCTGCGGGGAATGAGGACAGAATTCAACTGCAAAGTACGTATGTCCCAAGTCAAATACAATGATATTAGTATTAACCGGGTACTAGAGAATTGGTGCTGTGGGATATTGCTTCGGCGGCAAGTATGTCGTGCGGCATCTGCACCCGGGGAAAATCGATGTGGGCTATACAGCACACCCATCCCATATTGAAGAGGCCGAGCTCAAGGCCATTCAAGGCCCACTGGCTATCGCTGCAGCAGAAACCGACGGAATATTCTCCGTTGAAAAGCGACATGTAACAGAGGGTATCTTGAGGGAGTTGAGCCTTCCTTATCAAATCAACCTCTATAGCGGGGTGAAGCATGGCTTTGCGGTCCGAGGCGATCCAGCGATCCCGGATGTGAGATATGCGAAGCGAAGTGCTTTTGTACAAGGAGTTGAGTGGTTCAATGAGCATTTGAATCAGGAGGACCTAGTCTAGCTTAGGTATTTTGGTGCGAGAGAGACCTTGACGAGAATATTGTGGATTCAGTTTTCCAATCACAAAACATGGTTCCATGTTTCTTCAAACTGTTATCAAGCGACAATATTTAAACATACCACCGGACAGAAAACTGGACAAGGAAACATCGATCTATTTCTATCTGCTTTTCCTCCAGAATATTTTATCTAGTTGACCAACTTTATTTACCAAGTTAATCCAGATTGTCTATGGTATAGTAACTTCAAATATCTTTGCAATGACAAGTCAAGTTCAAGAAATACCAAGTTATTTCATTCTAGTACAGGTCCTCATACTCTGGCGTGAGACAAGATTCGCAACTAAATACACCACAAAAGCATCTATAACTCCATCCATATTTACGAGATCAAATGTATTGACTTGCAGCTCTGAAAGAGCCCATCTCTAGGCAATGAAACCAATACTCTTCCAGTGTTGGACAAATTTCCGCGCAAGGTCTGGGCTCACTGGGCCGACTGCGCGGAGAGTTTGGGAGTGTTCTCGACTCTTGGTAGTGTCAAGAAGAAGACCACCCGCCGACATGCGTTGGAAATCCTGTTCAAGGAAATCGGCTAGCACGGTGGCTGGGTTTTGATCCTTGTCAAGGGCATTTGCGGGGAAGTCGCGCACGCAAGCCACCCATTCGTCTAAGGGCAGGCGGTTGTCCGGCGGGATTCCGAGGGCATCCGCAAGAATGGGAAGCATTTCCTGCCACGGCTGCCTAATTGGGTTATCGATATGGTAAATCGGATACGGGTCTTCGACAAAGAGGAGCTCGACTAGTGTACCAGCCACATCGTCCACGGGCGTCCAGGAGAGTGGCCCATGCAGATCAGGCAGGTGATTGATGGTCTGTGCCGATTTAAAAAGGAACGACAGATGCTCAACCGGGTTCCAGTAGCCTGAGATATTTGATGCTCCCACCTGTCCTAGGCGCACAGTCGATGTGTGGAACCTCTGCGAGTCACCGCGAAGTGTATGGTCGAGCATGAGCTCGCAGATATACTTGGCGTCCCCACAGCTAATAGGGAGTACCGCATCAAGAGAAAATCGCTCTTCTGGGACATGGGGGTCCTGCTTCTAGATTGGGTAATGCCTAACAGTGGTAATAGACGAGATGAACTGGAAGCTCACCGGGGGACCGCCTGGTGAAGAGAGGTCGCGGGCGAATTCGATCAACTTTCGCATAATACGAAACTGTGACTCAAAGCCCTAGACCGGCCGCTTGATGCTCATCGCCCACGCATTGTGCATAATGTGTGTGGTAGACTCGAGTAGCTTCTTGTAGGCTTCTAGCGACAGCCCGAGCTGAGGCTTTGCGAGGTCCGTTTCGAGGACCTGGATTTTCGCAAGAGCCTCCTCAGGGAGGGAGAGTCCCTTTGTGGCCAGTGACTGCATTTGTCGTTCTCGGGCCTCTTGCTGACCGCGGCGGTTGAGACATATTACTTTCGTAACAGAGGGCATCTGGGCCAGACGTGCAACGACATGTGCGCCTACGCTGCCTGTTCCGCCGGTAATGACGACACCATGACCAAGCGCCTGCCGACAAATGCCAGACACCGGAAGGGAAATATCAAATTCCAGGGTATGTTTGCGCACATAATCATCAACAACCCTTTTGCGGTCTGCGAGCGTATGTGGGTCAGTCGTGATGATGTGAGATGAGGAACTCTGCTGGATATTCTCAGTGGGATCCGGATCACAGGCAACCGCAATGATAAGCTTGTTGATGGTGTTTTCTGGCAGCAATCCATCCGACCAATCCACACGTCCAAATCCAGCTGCCTGCAAATCTGTTCTCCAACGCGCAGCAGGAGTGAGAGCATGGCGACGCCCGTCGGCGAAGAGCCACCAGCCTTCGAACAGGCCAAAGATCATATCAATCCAGTAAAGGGGTTCAATCATCTCTAGCATCATGAGAATACCATTAGGCTGTAAGACCTTTTTCAGTTTCGTTGCGGACCCGACGAGGCTGTGCGTGGCATGCACAGCGTTGCTCGCCACTACTATGTGCTGGGTGTTGATCAAATCATCGGCTGGCTCTTGTTCGATGTCATGCGCACGGAATTTCATCATAGATGCGTACTGCTTGAATGTTTTGCGTGCACCTGCGACCAGCGATGGGGCCAGGTCGGTGAATGTGTACTCGACGGGTATCTCGAGCCGAGCCAGAAGAGGAATAAGCCATTTCGAGGTGCCCCCTGTCCCTGCACCCATTTCCAGGATTCGCAATGGACCACTTCCAGGTGGAAGACGGGACACTAGTCGACTAAGGAAATCTTCCATTTGCTGATAGTAGCAGATATTCATGATCCAGTCACCGTATAGGCCTGATACTAGTTTCCTGCCTTCCACGTTGCCGAAAATCAACTTGATCCCATCAATCTCGCCACGCAGCGCCCGATGAAGATGCGAGCCAACATAAAAGATCAATGCATTCACGTTTTGGTACTCTGGGTATTTCTGGCGCAGCTCCTCCCTGAGATTAGTGCTTGAGGCGGCTGGGTACACAGCCTCGGTACGCCGAACAGTCAACCCCGGGCCGTCAACCACCTTTATCAGTCCAGACTGAGTCTCCAACATCTCCGCTAGGCGTGCAATAAGAGGAATATGCTCAGGACGCGGGGTAAATAGTGTCAACCTCTCTCCGGATTTGAGGGCACGGATGGAAGAGCCCATCTCCTCGAAAGCCTCCAACGTGTGCAGAACGCACAACTGGGTCTGTTTTGGTAACACTTCTTTTACGTAGTTGGAACAGCCATTGGAAGTTATGATGCTGTCACCAGCTGCCTTGGTCTCCCGGAAGGCAGTTAGAATATCTTCAACTGGGATGGTGGAGGGCACGTTACTTGGGGCCGGCCCGCTGCGAAGTAAGGCTTGAGGGGCGGGGGAAGACGCGGTAGGAGCAGCGGAGTCGGGGAGTTCGGGCGCTACCTGAGCCCCGGGTAGATCACGATGCAGCTCCTCGATCGATAGCTCCTCAAGTACGAGAGAATCGTCAAGTTTGAATCGAAACTTGTCCTCCAGTTCTCCTCGAACCTCCATAGAAAGCAACGAATCAACCCCTAGGTCCTTCAGCGGAGCGGACACGGAGAGTTCGCCCTCGTCTATACCCAGACATTCAGCGAAGTACGCGAGAAGATCGGCGGTGTTGACACCAACGCCGACTGAGAGATCGGTCAACTCTGTCTCTGCCGGCGAAGAAGCCTGATTCTCATTCTCATCGTCAGTAGGATCTAAGCTAGCCTCGCTATTGCCTTCGTCAAGCGTCGATTGCACAACCCGCACCAACTGGGCCATGGTGGTGATGTCCGCCACGTCGTCCAACGACAGGGAACATTTGAAAGCGTTTTCAATCTCCGATACAACCTCCATGGCCATCAGCGAGTCAACGCCGATTTCGGCCAGCTCGCTGTCAATGCGAATGTCTTCAGGTTCGGTTCCTGTCAGATCGGCTAATATCGAACTGAGCTTTGGGAACAAATTTGGTTTGGGAGACGCCGGTCGCTTGTCTTGTTTCTTTGGAGCTGATACCTTGGTGTCGGTAATATGTGAAGGAGAAGGCTTTTCGACTGCTTTGATCGGCGACACAAGCTCTGCAAGTTTCGTGTTCGTCGCCAATGCCTTCTCATCGCGGGTCAACCGCGTTAGCAGCTTGACCATGCCCGCTCGTGGAACCCTAATAAATTGGAAGCCCAAAATCGCCTCGACAAGCTGACCAGTAGTTGGATGGAAGACAAATATATCAGATAAGCAAGAGTTCTTCTGGGGCCCTTGGTGGTACGCCAGAACATCATAGCTGTTAGGCCGGCCCCCGAGGCTATCCATGTCAGGTGAGCGGATCCATTTCTCAAACCCTCGAGCGACGTACAACTCTGTCGTGTCACGTTCTGTCATGCAATTCAGCCAGATACCAACGACCTGTGCAAACGCATCAGACAGGTGGGCGTCGAACCAGGTCTTGGGGTTGTAGGCACGCAACACACGACCCGCCGAAAGCTGGCCCTTGCCAACAAGTCGCTGAAGCCCTCGGTACTGTTCGCCGTAGTCGACAATATTCGCGAATGTCTTGTATATGGTGCGACCTTGGAGGATCTCGTCCGCATCGGCGCTGTGGTCAAGCAGATCAATACAGCGCGCGTGACCTGTTAGTCGCGTATGGCGCGAAAAATCGAGTCGAGTTTGCTCGTCATCCATTGAAAGCACTATCAAAGTTCCAGTTGTGAAAGTGGTGCCGGCATCGGCTTGCTTCTGGGAAGGTGACTGGTCGCTAGCTGTGCTCGTACCGAAAAACCGGAAACGCCACCTGCCTTTCTTTGGGCCGTCTTCAGATGTGAGATCAAGCCAGACTGATTGCGACCGGTCAGCACAGATGGGGGATTGATTGTCGACGCCGTGGATTTGCGGCTGGGCCTCGGACCCGATCGTGGGTACCAAAGCTTTCAGGCCTTCGACTGCTATGTCCATTTGGACAGTGGCAGGGCAGATTGGAGCAGTGTTTACAATGAGGTGTGCTGTCATCAGTTTCTCATACTCGGGAAATGTGGTGTTGACCCGAAATCGCGCATGGTAATAATCTGGATCTTGGTATCCCACAAAGCTTAACAGCGTCTCTGGCAGCTTTTGGGTCTCCGTGCCACCACTGCTTGCTGAGACCTCGACAAACTCTTTCTGCGGCTGCTTTTTATTCTCTAGCCTGTGTCGGGATTTCTCAAACTGATAAGGGGGAAGTAGCAAGGGTGCGTAGTGGGTCGTCTGCGCAGAGACATGAGCCCAGAAGGAGACACCTAGACCGGCATTCCACAGACTCAACATGGTGTCGACTAGATTCTCCCACGCACGGTCTGTAGTGATGTTGACGGCCTGGAAGTGTCTCCCTGCGAGACCCTGTAATGCTCGGCTGGCCATCACGGTGATTGTAGAACTAGATCCCGCCTCCAGGTAAATTGCATTGGGGAATTCATTATCCACTCGCTGCAATGCATGGTGGAAATAGACCGGCAACCGCATATGGTCGGCGACATAGGAGCCAGGGTTGTCGATTGTTTTTTCGGGGCGGGTGTTCGTGGATCGCTCTATGCGGATGTTGGACGGCTCCCGGAAGGTCAAGCCCCTAGTTGCTTCATTCAATCTGCTTCGCAGTGGTTCGACCAGTTTGGAATGGAAGGCATTGGTGACATCAAGTCTCTTTGCCTTGACAGAAGCGAACGAAGGGCTTCCAAGACGAGACGCATCGACGGCCTCCACCGCGCGGGTTGACCCAGCTACAGTGAAGCTCCTAGATCCATTATAGCATGCAATCCCTGCTGACTCTTGATCAGGGATAGTACTGTTGGCTGTGACAAGCAATTGCTGGACAATGTCTAGGTCACCTTCCAAGGCCATCATACTCCCTCCCTCGGGTCCCCAGAAGTCCCTAATCACTCGGGCACGAGCGGCAATCATGCTTAACGCATCTTCCAGAGACAAAGAGTCAGCCACGCAGAGCGCTGTTAGTTCTCCGAAACTGTGGCCCAACACCGCGACAGGTTGCGCGCCAGCGTCCATCCAGCTTTTGGCGCATGCATACTGCAGGGCAAATAGACTTGTCTGGAGTGTGACAATATCGTCAACAGGTGTCCGCTGAAAGATAGCAGGGAATATGCTGCCGATTCCAAGCGCAATACAGCGACGATTGCACGTATTTAGGTGCCCACGTAGGACAGCAACCTCCTCATACAGAGAACGGCTCAGTCCAATGAATTTGGATACCTGGCCACCAAAACAAAGTACCAGCGGTCGCAGAGCTGGCCGGGTACTTGCATTGACACTCGTATCGCTCTTCTGATATCCCATCAACTGCATCTGGAGCTCCTCAACTGACTGGGAGGCAAACAACAATCTACGCTGTAAGAAGCGGTTGGACTGGCGCGATAGGTTAAACGCCAGGTCCTTCAGAGACAGCGGCTCTCTTTGCCCGTGAAGGTATTTAAGAAACGCTGTGACATAAGCCTGAAGGCTTTTTTCGTCGAGCGCACTAAACCAAAAGGGCACCCGCTGTGTAGTCGCGGTGCCGTGAATGGCTGCGGACGTCGGCGGCGGTTGTGTAATCACCATCGAGGCGTTGGACCCTGACGCACCGTAGTTGTTGATAAGCGCAGCCCGGAAGGGCACATCCCAGGCAGCCACCTGTCGGGCGATCTGGATACCGTCTGTCGGGCTTTTCTGAATTACTGGATTCAGTGTGTCGAAACTGGCCTGCGGTGGGATTATGCCCTTCTGAATCATAAGCAAGACCTTTATGAGCGAGACAATCCCAGAAGCGCACTCGCAGTGGCCTACGAGTCCTTTTACCGATCCAAGGATCAGGTTTTGGGACTGTCTCGGTCCTCCAAGCGCCTTACTGACACTCGAATACTCCACAGGGTCGCCGACGGGTGTTCCCGTGCCATGAGCTTCGACAACAGTGATTTGTTCGGGACATAAGCCGGCCTTGTCCAGAACAGACCCTAGGATGCTAGACAGCGACGGCTCATTCGGTACCACTATCGGTGTACAATTCTCATTTTGCTGGACTGCCGTGCCCGAGATGACACCCAGGATCTGGCCTCCATCCTCTAGAGCAGCACTGAGTTTTTTCAGAAACACAGTCGCTACACCCTCACCACGACAGTAGCCATCGGCCTTACCGTCGAATGGTTTACATTGGCCTGTCTTACTCAGGAAGGAAGCACCAGCAAGGTTTTGGAACCAAAGCGGGCTTGTCATAACATGCGTGCCACCTGCTAATGCTGCTGTGCATTCGCCATTGAGGATGGAGCGACAAGCCTGATGGACGGCAACCGCTGACGAGGAACAGGCCGTATCGATCGTTAAGGCGGGACCAGTCCACCCGAAGTAGTGACTGACCTTACCCGCGATGAATCCGCGAAGGTGGCCTGTAGCCGTAAAGGCATTGGGCTCGTAGCAGGCGAGGTTATTCTCGTAGTCAACACAGCACACACCCATATAGCATCCGATTCGCACATCTGGGCTCGCATTTTGGAAATATCCGGTTTGCTCGACAGCCTGGTAAGCGATCTGCAGCAGCTGTCGCTGCTGCGGGTCCATGGACTCGGCTTCACGTGGGGACTTCTTGAAGAACTTATGGTCAAACTTGTCGGGGTCATTCACGAAGTTGCCAAACCACTTCCGTTTTGAATCAACCTTGCGGTGAACCGTTTCGAAGTTGAAGCGCTCAGCCGGTACTTCCTTATGCTGCGACGCACCCTTGCAGAGGATATCCCAAAACCCCTCCAGGTCATCCGCGCCAGCGACTTTGGCCGACATGCCGACTACGGCGATATCATCCCTTGATGAGCGACGAGGAAGGGCTGAGCGAGAAATCGGATCTTGCTCCTCCATATACAACACTCGGTCGCTCAGTGTCGTCAGGATAGACGGCGGTATACATCGTTCTGCGCCAAAGGAAACAACCTTCGCTGCGGGGCTAATGAGTGTGGAGACATGCACCGCTTTGACTGTGTCCACCCACTGGGCAGGCTCCACCAAGATGGATCGGATAGCTGCTGCATGCAATGGCCGGCTCCGAGGGGGGGTCCCACTCGCGAAAGACCGATTTGGAAGTATGAGAGCCGCTGTGTCGGCAAATTGAAATCTCTCATCAATGTCACAGAATTTGATCAGTGGTTCAATGTCTGCCGCGTGCCCGTGCCAGTGGAACCGCCCTCGAAGGGCAATATCTGACACTGAAATGCCGGCAGATATCAGGACCTGCTTTATTGCTCCGGTCTTCATAGCGGGAGAGGTTATAGTAGCCCGATTTTCGTCATATTGGACAGAAATATATGTCTTGTAAGGGATATTAATCAATAGCTCGATGAGGTGTATCATTCTACATCAGAAGGAAAATAGAAGGATGTACGCTCACCTCTGGATCTGAAGCAATAATACTTAGTAGCTTCTGCTTCTGTTCCTCCGACTGCCACCTAGTGGCCATGGACTTCGAAGAGCTGTGGGCCTCGGATAGATCTCGGGCATCGACAACCAGGCCAATCAGCATGGCGAACCGAATGGCCACCGATCCGTAATTCTCCAACTGCAATCTTGTATTGCTACTCGATACTGCCAGCGCACTGAGAAGCCCGGTACAAAGACCTAATGTCTCAGAAGTCGCCTGCAGGTTTGAAGGCAAGAAATCATCTCTGTCGTTTGTGGAACTCCGTATCCGGTCGAGATATTCAATGTACTGAATCAGCTGCGAGGTCACGACCAAAGGAGTGAGAATGGTGTTAGGCAAAGTCGAACCGTCAAGGACAGCCGCCCTGCTCCCGGTACTCAGCCAGCTACTCAGCTGTTGCAACTCAGAGGAAGCCCATGTTGCCTGTCTTGCAAGGTCTGGGCAATGCTGAAGGACGCTTTGCAGGACGCTGGGAAGATCCGCTATGGTGTGTCGAATCCAGCGATGACGCTCCTCGGCCACAATCTTTGTCCGAAGGGCATTGAGTGCACTGGCTTCTAACGACAATGCTTGCGGTCCAAAGAGGAGAACTGTCTCCTCCGCTGGTAAATTTGACACCAGGAATGTCATACTTCGAGCTGCTCGAAACCAGTTGAATCAAATGAGTTGCAAGGTTGAAAAAGAAAAGAAAAATGAGGATCCGGATGCTGAAATTAAAGTGACTTGTGCGCGCCTTTGAAGCTTACCCTCTCCCTATTTATTCTGTCTTAGCTACAATACACCATAATCTAGTATATTGCATAGGCATGTATCAATACTTTTGTCAGCAACATTTTCCATTGACCAAACGGATAGTACCCGAATCCTGCTGATGCTTGAGTTAGACGTCCAAATTGCATTTTGGGGCCAAAAACCCCCGGCGCACAGGCACCCGCCGGGCCCGACGGACCCGAATCTCCACCCGAAACATAAATGGATCCTCGGATGAAGTAGAATAGTCCGAACAGTCTGAACCGAGTGATGGCGGTCTTACTCATCTCTTTCTTTGGTCTTATCTTCGTTTGCAGGATGAAGAGCATCACAATTTCACGCAAGACCCGGCATCACACAATCACCATTAGTACACAATCCTAGTTTGCAGGAAGATCAATACCAAAATGGCCGACGCAATCGATGCACAAGACGGGTCTTTCACAGTTGGCATTGTCGGCGCTGGTCTCATCGGAGTCATGCTAGCGGCGGGTCTGGTCCGTCGTGGCATCGCCGTCAAAGTCTACGAGCAGGCGCGAGGCTTTCGCGAGATCGGGGCAGGAATGGCCTTCACTGCCACTTCGGTTCGGTGCATGGAACTTCTCGATCCAGCTATTGTGTATGCTTTGCGATCCAGCGGAGCTGTTCCCATCTCAATCGGCGATCATCAAGGTGAAGCGCGTGATTATCTCCGCTGGGTGGATGGATACAACCAGGTTTCGGGCAAGGACACCACATATGAGAGGAAGCTATATGAAATAGACGCAGGCATCCGCGGCTTTGAGGGCTGTAGGCGCGACCAGTTTTTGGAGACGCTCGTAAAGGTTCTTCCTGAGGGGGTGATCGAGTGCCAGAAGCGAGTACAGCAGGTTTATGAGAAAGAATTGGGGGACAAGATCACTCTGGAGTTTGCCGATGGCGTATCTGTCGAGGTGGATTGCGGTGAGCCCTCTCCCCCCGGCCTCAAAATTTGTTCTCTCCTTCGACGGATTGAAGCTGAGAAATACAAATGGCTTCACAGTGATCGGTACCGATGGAATCCTGTCTCGGGTTCGGCAGCATCTGTTTGGCAAAGACTCGCCCCACTCCTTCCCACATTATAGCCACAAGTTTGCGTATCGGGGTCTCATCTCAATGGAAAACGCCATCTCCGCCCTGGGGGAATCCAAGGCGCACACCCTGAATATGCACGTCGGCCCAAACGCGCATCTCATCCATTATCCGGTCGCGAACCAGACCATGGTCAACGTGGCTGCGTTCGTGTCGGATACCAAGGACTGGACTGATCAGACAAGTCTCGTACAGCCTGCCACAAGAATTGACGCAATGAACGATTTCGCGAACTGGAATACCTGCCTGCGCGCCGTGGTTAGCTTTTTGCCGGAAAGGATCGACCGCTGGGCAATGTTCGACACTTGGGATTACCCAGCCCCTTACTTCAGTCGCGGTAAGGTTTGTTTGGCTGGTGACGCAGCCCATGCAGCTGTCCCACATCATGGGGCAGGGGCTTGCATTGGGGTCGAGGACGCGCTGTGCCTGGCGATTTTGCTGGGAGAAGTTTCGGTCTCGATGCGAGGGCAAAGCGCAATGGACTGTGGGCGCGCTGTAGTTGCCGCGTTTAATACCTATGATGCTGTCCGGCGGGTCCGCGCTCAGTGGTTTGTAGACAGTAGCCGAAGAGTATGTGATTTGTACCAGCAGCCTGAATGGGCGGATCCCGAGAGGTGGGGCAAGGCCGAGACCTGTTTCGAGGAGATCAAAGAGCGCTCCCACAAGATATGGCACTTTGACTACAATTCTATGTTGCAGGAGGCAATTGAGGGATATAGGCAGAGGATGAGCGAGTGAGATTCCTCTCCACTTGCACTCTCAGGCGGGTTTCCAGTCTAACAACTGAAATTAGCGCAACAATTACTTAGCCGTTCCAAGACCAACCCACTCACCGCGGGTTAGTGCCGGCTCAGTGGAATTTATCACCTCATTTGAAGATTTCCCTCTACTCCTACTACTTTCTTCACATGGAAGAGTTCGAGAGATCTAATGGCTTGGGCGTTTTACTTCATGGTCGAAGTACCTAGTAGGCTGATATATCTGAGGTGCATTCTAGTGCGAGAGTCAATAGAAAGGTCAATATCACTTGAAATGCAATGTCAATCCCGGTGGATGATATGAAAGTGATGCGAGCTTCCATGCAAACTACAATACATCTAATTGTATTCTTATACTATACATCATTTCTCACAACCATTTTCATGGGCTGATCTATTGCTGTTCTACTCGACAGTGACAGACTTGGCCAAGTTCCTTGGGAAATCAACATTCAGCCCCTCGGCTACAGGAAGCCAATAGGCCACGAGCTGCAAGGAAATTACGTTGAGCAGACCCTGAAGAGCATCAACAGTGCGGGGGACCTCGACCCTGTCGGTCCTGTCTCTAGGGAACTCGAGGTCATCAGTGTTACAGATGACTATGGGCCGGCCGTTACGCGCAATAACCTGGTTGTAAGCGTTAAGCTACTTGGAGAAGTTGTCATCACGGGTCAGGATCATGACAAGAGGCAATGCCTCATCAATCAGAGCTAGAACACTGTGCTTAAGCTCACCGGACATGAGCTTCACAGTAGAGATAGGAAATTTCCTTGATCTTAAGGGCATCTAGAGAATTGTTAGTATTTATCGTTCGAGGAAGCTTTTGGTGGGAGGCTGAAACTCACCTTCAAGGGCAGTGGCGTGCTGATTACCACGACCAAGGAGTAGCAAACTCTTCAGGTCCTTAAACTTCATGCAACATTTCTTAATATCCTGGTCAAGCTTCAGGAACTCCTTAGTCTGCTCGGAGATGTTGGCAAGGCCCTCCATGATATCGATACGACGCTGGCTCTTGCTTGAACGGTCTTCACTAAGCGCCAAGGCAAACATCACCATGCAGTCTATTTGTGAAGTATGGCCTTGGTTGATGCGACGCCGATCTCGGGACTGGCGTTGATGTGGACAGTGTAGTGAGTCAAGATGGAGATTGAGGATCCAACAACATTGACGATACCCACGGTCATAGCACCACGCCCAAGGCAGTAGCGTAGAGCCATCAGAGAATCCGCAGTCCCACCAGACTGAGAGACAAAAACACGTATCGTCCCGGAAGACAGGAGCCTGTCTATCTAGGAACCTGAAGATAGTTCGACAGCAATTGGAGTCTTAGTCAACTCTTCGAGGGTGCCATGGACTGCGACACAGGAGTAATATGTGTACCATATTCCGAATCTGGCTCACTTGCCACATGGCTGCTCCGTGTCCACTGAAAAGCGAAGGGTAATGAGGGAGGATAGATCTGAGAACGGTTCCAGAACGAGCGTGTAGTTGGGAGATAGGTGGGAGAGGGTTAGCGAAGGGTATTTGGGAGTTTAGAGGTGGGTTTGGGATCGGTGTAGTCGGGGGGCACAGGTAGCGACTCTAAAGGGGGATAACTATTTTAAGGACTAACGTAGTTACCTAGTTAGTTAGTTCCTTTCGCCTCGATACCTACCTAAGTATAGCTAAGGATGGCCACGATAAGGATGATAAGGATGGGGCTCTTACCAGACTTCGGCTTAAATTTAGCTATATATCCATGACTGCGAAGGGGCAGAGCGGCCAAAGGTCAAATGCCTGATTTTTCACGATTAATTCCTGAATCGGCCTGAATTGTAGACCGCTTTCGACACCGCTCTATTCCGTATACTGTAAGTTGAAGCTATTCCGACCCCATCGGTTTCTTCGAATCCCCAGCGTTAAAAACTGTCCTAGACCCCACAAAATGCCTTCTTATACTAATCTCGAGCCTTATAAAGGCGAGATACCACAAATAAAGCTATTCGGACCCTCCTTTAAGACAAACACGATATGAATATCAGCTAGTAAAAGCTTCAATACCAAGAAAAAATGGAATCCTAGTGTTTATATAGCCTGAAAAGCTTCATTTTTTCATCAGAGAGATTTGGTCGGTCGTAACAGCTTTAACGCCCGGAAATAGGCGGATATAGGGGTTGTATAGTGGGAATAGCTTCATTCTTTTCAACTCCGAGGTCAGATACTTTGCTTATTAAGCCCTCTGTTATGGTAATTCAGGTATTTTGATTTCTAGTCTAAAATAAGGCATATTCAGGCATCATATCTGAAAAATTAGGCATTTGACCTTTGGCCGCTGTCTCTTCACACATGACTGTCTATAATTCTCCCATTTTAACAATCTATACAGATATAATGACTAAACGTAATATGTACTTTTGTATGATACACATCGTACTAATGACCATATGGGTTTCTGAGTATAATACTCTGTAAATCCATATATTCAATCTCGTTATTCCACCTTTTTTTCTGGCTTTTTGATGTATTAAACATACCGTAAGGCTTTGCCACTCTTACAAGCTTCCTTCGCGTCTCCGTTGGACTGTCTCCTGGCCTTTTACAGATAACAGCAATAACTCTCCAAATAATAGTAAGCCATGTAAATGAAACGGCACTTCTTTCCTGTCGCTACCTCATCTTTGCACCGGAATCGCACCCATTGGCCCGGCTACCATGAGGGGCGGGGCGGGCCGGAGTACAGTAACAATCCGACCCGACAACTTTCATATGGAACCAAGCACTAGGGACAACAAGGATCAGCTCTCCTTTCAGTAATCCTTGTCACTGGCTTCAAGCAATTAATCTTTATATTTCTATTGATCTGCAGCAATAAGGAAAGATAATCTGAAACCTCGAGTAGAAAGCAACAAACATGGGCTTCAGTTCGCGACTCTCAGTGAGCCTCAAGTCCATAGCCCAGAGTTATGACTTCTCTGCTGGGCTTCTTATCCCAGGTGCGATGATAATTACCTTCTTGGTGTGGCGATTCTTGATCTGGTTCAAACTACGCCACATACCGGGCCCATTCTTGGCCACTCTGAGCAACTTTACGCGAATGGCATGGGTCAAAACGAAGAAGGCACACTTAATTCACCAGAAGGCCCACCAGCAATATGGTGATTTGGTGAGGTTGGGGCCAAATATGGTGTCGAGCAGTGATCCGGGGGCAATTCCAACCATCTACCCTATGAGAAAGGGTTTTGTCAAGGTAAGTTCCATAAATCCCTATGGTCGATTAATTATCTATCTATATAGAAGCTAATCTTCCTACTTTTCTCTGCTGTGAAGAGTGATTTCTATGCTCCTCTCCGGCCTTACACAAAGACCGGGGGTGCTATTCCCAATGTATTCACGGCGTTAGACGAGGACCTCCACATGAAGCTGAAATACCCCGTTGCCCAGCTCTTCTCCTTGTCAAATGTAGTGATCTTTGAATCCCTCGTCGACGAAGTGCTCCATGTTTTCTCTGAACAACTGGATCGGCGTTTCTCAACCGACGGTGAGGTCTTTGATTTGACCGAGTGGCTCCAATTTTTTGCTTTCGATGTCATGGGAACAATGACATTTTCCAAAAGATACGGGTTTCTGGAACAGGGGAAGGATGTTGGCGGAATGCTCAGTACCATCTCTCATTTCATGACACAGGCTGCCCCGGTGAGGGTTTCTCCTTTCCAATAACAAGGTCAGATGCTGATAACCATATCAGATGATGCAAATTCCATGGCTGGACAAAGTATTATATAAAAATCGACTAGCCGCCACCTTGCGACCGACACCAGGAACCAATATTATGAAGTTCGTCGGACAGACCATCAATGAGAGACAGACGCTAGCCAAGGAGAGTGAATCCATCAGCACAACGTCTCTTACCAGTAAGACAAGTGAGAAGGGCGATTTCCTAGACAAATATATCGAGCTACAGCAGCGCAGTCCAAAAGTTCCCCCTTGGTCAGAGCCCCTTGTCCAAAATTCCATACAAAAACATACGGTATACTGACCAACAATGCAGGTTTGTTACCGCATGGACAATCTCCAACGTCCTGGCCGGCTCCGACTCTGTCGGCACGGTCATGAAAACCACCATGTACAATCTTCTAGCCAGCTCTCGCACCCTTGAAAATCTACGCGGCGAACTCCTTGCGGCGAATGTCTCGCGCCCCTATCCACGTTGGAGCGAAGTCAGCGGACTGCCATACCTAGATGCGTGTGTTCAGGAGGCCCTTCGTGTCCACCCTCCCTTTGCTATGCCATTCGAGCGTATAGTCCCTGAGGGAGGAATCTTCATTTCTGGACAGTATCTTCCGGCCGGCACTATCGTAGGGGCGAGTCCATACGTGGTGAACCGACATGTTCCCACGTATGGTCCCGACGCAGAGATATGGAGGCCGGAAAGGTGGCTAGAGGGTCCCCCAGCCCTACGGAAAATGCGAGAAGATGCGTTGCTGACAGTAAGTTTTCGCTGCATGCTGTTCTTAGGTTCATCGCTGATGCAATATCTTTGGTTTAGTTTGGCGCGGGACGCCGTATCTGCTTGGGCAAGCACATTGGAATCTTTGAGATCAAGAAACTGATTCCATTCCTCGTGCTCAATTATGATGTGAGTTTGTTCCTTTTTAAATGAGCTTTGATTCGGATGGAAATACTGAACTCAAAAAGTTTACCATGGTCAATCCTGAGGCCTTCTCTGTGGAGAATGAATGGTTTTTCCGACAAACCAATCTTTATACCCAAATCAAGAAACGTCATCTGTAGATAGTCGGCTTGCATTCCTAGTCTATGGGCTTCAAGGCGTTGATAAATTTGAGTGTCTTCAACAGAGCTGCTTCAACCCTTTTTGTTTTCCTTGCTTCGGTCGATTTCTTAGTATACTGCAGCGCCTCATTGAGCCATTTGGCAGTGTTCATTAAGCAGGTAAGTATAGAATACATGATTACTACATGTCTTGGCTTGCTAGACGATGTCGATTTTGCAATTTGTGATTTTTACATCCTCCACCGGGCGAAAGTGGCGTAATTCACTATCGAGCGGGCCAGTCCGAAACACTATAGTAAATCCGTTAAATTATAACATTGTAACTTGGTAACGGTGGTTTATGGTGATTCGGACTGGCCCGCTGGCCCGCTCCCGGGCTCCGTGGGTGCAGTGAACTCCGGGCCTGGTGCACTGGCCTGTAATCTGCCACTCTTTTTTTACGGTCTCCACGCTACTTAACAAATTGCAATAACAACAGTTCCTCCGAAGAGGCAAGTATTGAAATATTATTCGGCTTTTTACTCCAAATTGGATTGCAAAAAGCATGGCAGATTCTGTTATAGTTTTTGGATAAGCCCGGCTATAGGTACGGTGCACAAGAGAGAAAGGACAACTTCCATGAAGTCTGATAAGATATTGCCTCAAAATCTAATATCTCCCCAAACAGATACTATCAATCCCTGGGAAGTAAGGCTCCAATTTGCCTACTTCAGATACGTGGCATTATTTCCCAGGGTGTGCGCCAGCCTCGAATTGATATGTTCACCAACGCTAGCCTCTTCCCCAGAACCGTCAAGGGGTTTGATCTTCAGGTTGAGGTTGCCGTTGAGGAAGAATGCGACACTATATCTGCGATTTCCGGAGATCAAAACGCGATGCCGAGCACTACGGTAGTGGCCGCCCGTCCACCGGTGCATCGTGTCACCCATGTTGATTACGAAGGCATTCTCGACCACCGGGACCGGAATCCAGGTTTTGGTTGAAGGGTACCAAACTTCCAGACCCTTCGTGTTTGCCTGTTGAAGAAGAATAGAGACGCAGCCGAAGTCGGTATGGTCACCAACTGTGCGGTGCCATCGTCAGTTTTCGGTCGAAGTAATAACGGCAGCTCTAGAAGGAATGTGTCCACTTACCTCCAAACTGTCGGGGGTCAATGTTCGTTTCGGGTGCATAATGCAACAGCCTCATCGGAATTGATGGGTTGATCAAGATACCATTGAGAACATCAGGCGAATAGCCCCATGCCTTGGGCAGTCCTTGGCCCAGGATCTTGATCAGTATGCCGACGAGCTCGAGCATTCTTGCCCGATACTCCATCACTGGTTGGCGGAAATCTTCATAAGGCAAGGTTCCTGGCCAGAGGTTTGGGCCGGTCGAAAACTTGCCCACGTCCGGATGATCGGCGGGGGTTTCTGCACCGGTAATAAAACAATATAGTTTGTGTGTGTTGACACTTGCTTTGTCTTCTCTTCGGAGATAATTGGGTAGACTTACCTCTTTGGTGTCGGGTAACAGTCCTTCTTGATGGGTTTGGATCCTGGACGGTTCGTACCCTCGGTAAGATTTGCCCAGGGACTTGTCCACGGAGACCTTCATCTTTTCGTTCAGCGGAAGATCAAAGAATTCTTTGCTGCATTCAAAGATCTTGTTTTGGGCTTTCTCAGGAATTCCATGGCCGACAAGGTTGAAAAAGCCGTAGGTGGAGCAGGCGTTGCTAACTGCTTTGACCACAGTGTCTTTGGCTTCTTGAGATGCGTCGGGGTTCAGCCAGGGACTGAGATCCACTGTTGGGATGGTTTCGGCGGAAATGGTCATATTACTTTCCTGTTGTTTGCTGTTACTTCCTGGGATGATATTCTTTTGGCAAAGGTCAAGACCAAATAAAAACTAAACCCTTTTATGATGGCAACTCAGAAATATTGGAGTATTATGTAAGAACAACCGAGTCTCAATCATATCTATAATCAAACGAACCTATGAAAAACACAGAGAAGCCTCTTCAAGGTGGTCGGAGAACCGACTGGCTGGTGCCCATATCGATTGAGCTTCGTCCGAGCCGAAGTTCCAGGATTGGCAAGGGTCACACTCACCCGAGCCATGATTTCCTCCGAGCCAATCATATCTATAAATCCATCCTTGTGCCGAAATTCCGATCATCCGCACTGGCCTGCAAAAAGGATCAAACTTGTTTTGGCTACACACATACCTAATGGCATTCATCCCGAGAGTATGTGAAGTTTCCAGCTTCTATTTGAACATTCCGGGAGAACCGTGCGCGTGTGAAGATAGTATAGCATGGGGGAAGTCATTATTTACTTTACAGGACATAATTCTCTTTAAGGATCAAACAAATACTGATCAACTAGTCGCTGTTATTGCGGGTGCCTTGATTTCTCATGTACAGCGAGTTCCTACTCGATCCAATAGTCCTACTGTCGCAGATATGTTTGAAATGCTTCTCATTCATGGTTATATAACACAGTAAAGTCATATCGCATGTTGTTCATGACCAGCCACCAGTATGTTTTGGCGATAGATACTCCCTTGCAATGTTGTTTACTTTGCTCATATCCGTCAATAAGCTATAAAGCTACTGGATCGGTGGGCGACTGAACTCATCCAAGTCATAATAAGTGTTGTAGAATTCGATACATTTGGCGAGGAGCAACGGGGTAAATGGGTGGACCTAAATGATCAGGCCAGTGTCATCAAGGAGAAAGGAAGGAGACACACTTTAAGGAAGCTCAAGTTGAGGATAGACGTTGAAAGACTGAGTATTTCTCCCGCAGCCAGTAAAGACTCATGCTCTAGCGTCAATATAGCGCTTTGATTATTCTGGGCCATCCGAACCAGTGAATGTTGCATGCTGTAGAGGTACAAAACACTCGCCTGTGCGAGCATCATGGTGAACATATGCATGGGGTCGTCAGGTAATGGGAACACAAAATTCTGATACTTGGATGACAGTGCCTTCAGCCTCGTCTGTACAATCATGTTAAGCGAAATCTGTTTCTCCCAGACGCTTTTACTGCTTTTGACTGAGCAATCACAGGTGTTTGTGGTGACCCGTCTGATAATGGTGGCAAAGATGATCGACTCGGTGAAGGGCGAAAATACCGAGGACGTATTAGACGACAGAACAGTTGCTAGGAATGGCATCTCAACGGAGCGGCCGTTCTGAAAATCACATTCTGGTGCCGGGAGTCGAATAAAATTCTTAAAGAGACTCAGATTAATCGAATTGAAGGAAAGAAAGGAATGTAAGGAGAAAAAAAGGTACCGTATGCTCCAAGAGACTCAGTGGCCACTCCCCTTGTAAGCTGATAAAGATATCCAGCGAGTATACCACCCAGAATGCCCTACGTTTCTCCTCTTTATGGATCCAGCCACCACTTTCCACCTTACCTTGGGGTCTATCGACCTCAAATAGCCGCATGAGTTGGATGGCGCGGATACAACGCCCGGCACTAGTCCAGCCGCGGCGGAAGCTCTTCTTCATCTGGTCATAGTAAAGAATTAAAATGCATGCCTGTACATACTCAATCTGGGGGAGGTCATTGTCCCGAGTCGACAATACATCGAGCAGGCTGCATGTGTGTTGGTAAAATGATTCACAGACATGCTGTAACTGAGATGATAGAGACCCAGCCAGAGTCCACATGGCATACTGTAAACAAACCTGCGCTTCCGTCTTGGTCGGCGAGCGAGTCCACGAGAAATAGTGTTGTCGATGCAAGATAGGAGCAAGGTGATGGGTCCGTTCTAAATACAGCTGGTCCCTGCAGAGTGGATCAGTAAACTGCCGAACTCAAATTTGTTTTTTCTTGTGTCAATTTTTTTGCCGGGATACCAACAGGTCTACATACATCAGGTCGGAAACGTCCAAGGAGGGACCCGGGAAACTGATTGGTTGGATACTGTGATGAGGTTGGACGTTGTCGCTTTTATCATCAAGAATCAGTGGCGGCAGGGGGTCCATGGACTCCGAAAAGGGTGGAACATCCGAGATGTTCTCGAACGGATCATATTCGGTCGGAAGATCAAACGATTGCATATGGAAGTCCATGTCAACGAGATCTGGAGTGAAGCTGGAGCGCGCTTTGCGAGCATCCTGTTCGAGAACGTCTATTCATGTTGCAGTCAGAAATTTGTGTATATCTGCATAGATCAAGATCTAGAGCTAAACTCTCGACCCTCGACCCTTCGCTAGATGAGTGTAATATGAGTCGCACACCTATTCGATCCTGTAGAACTTTCATGTGGTCCTTTCGCGACCCTCGCTTCCGAGAATGTGTGGACCGGATGCACTCCACCCCTGATGCCAAACATGTTCCACATTGTGGTTGGCGAGCATCACATTTCAGTTTTTTATTCCGACAGTACTGACAAGCTGAGCCGGGTGGCTGGCGGATCGATGGGTGTGTACCGGCATGGTTTACTTTGACCCCATACCCTAAGCCGTAGGGAGAATCTAGTGTAGAGGACATGATGATGGCTAGATGATTGCGAAATATCTCTTTAGAATATCTCTGCGGAGAAGGCTTATGTAGATAAACTATATGACAGAAAGCTGGTGTACGAACAATGTATGGTATAGATGACCAATGTTGAAGACTCTAGTTAAATAACCAAAATGACAAAACCCGCTATTTCAACAATCTGTGCAGACCTCGATGACTAACTGTAATATACACTTTTGTGTTGTATGCCTGGTACCCAATGTCACATGATGTTTCTGGTTTAATACCTGGTTTCTACCATGTATTCGGACTTAGTATTCGACACACCCTCCAGTTCTTAAAGCCTACATTTTCCTGGCTTCTAAAAAAAAATTAGCTCTCTAAGTAACGATTAATATTAATATACCGGAGCTTTATATAACGTATTTCACCCCATAGCTAGACACAACCAAAAGCTGGACACCCCAAAACACCATGGTAAATACGATCTTTTACAACCTTATATCTCAGCAACCACGTTACTGTTTGATTTCATTATTATCCGATAGTTATCGATAAGTCTTTTAAACACTATATATCAGTTCTAAGTAAATCGAAAAGCTATATTATCATGGTCTTGAAAATTACGTTGCTCAAAGCTAGAAATATATATATCCCAATCACAAAGTCATATACATTTTCTAAAGTCCTTAAATGAGGCTACATATTACCTAAAAAGCATTAAGCTATTAGAAAATTTCTAGATAGAGTACCTTTGTTGAGATATCAAGTTGTAATTTATCGCCTTTACTATGGTGTTTTGGGGTGTCTAGCTATGGGGTGAAATACGTTATATCGCCGCCCCGTCCTTTGTTAATAAATCGATAGTTTACTATTTAGTATATAACGTATTTCACAAGCGAGTGGCCACCACAAGCAAGTGGCCACCCCACCCACCTATATTAAATTTAAATGCATTTATCTCAACCATAACGCCATTAAATTAATCAAACTAACTAACTGGTCTATCTGGACATGTTTCTCTTCTATGTCCTGGCAATCTGCATATCCCACACCCTCGCTGGCCCCGTATACGTGGCTGAATAGCCGATTCTCTAGGTATACCGGGGCCGGGGGGAGGTGCTTTAGTTGCTTCCTATTACTATATAATTAATATAGATGCTTCTTAAACTAAGAGGCCTTCTTCTACGGGTATCTACCTCCGGGATCTAGTACGCTTTTGCTTCTACTTCTCGTTAGCGGCGCGTAATTCCTTATTTTCTTTAGCGAGTAAGATAGTACCTTATATTATAAGACGGAAGCCTTTTATAAGCTGGTTTAATATACGATCTAACGGGCTAGGCGGGCTTCGAGATCTTATACGAAGTAAAGCTTTAATTGATAAAGCCTATCGACGTAGTTCTTTCTCTATAAAAGGGGTTTTTAGGGTAAAATTCCGGCTTGATTTACTACCCCGGCTAGTAGGGGGGGTTAGGGTTCGAAGCCGGATATTAAGCTTTAAAATCACTCGGTCGGGTCTAAATAGTACTAAACCGGTAGCTAAGAAGCTATTCTTAATTGTCTCCGATTTAAAAGCTTTAATTCGTATAAGAGGGTATACTTCGAGGAAATCAAGCTTATTAATATAGTTAATCCCGTTTTATATCTTAGTTTCAACTATCCGACCGTACGATCGTTTTAATACCGTAAAATAACCTATATTAAGAGGTTATAAAAGATAAGATAAATACGCTAGTATATATATTAGTATTACCTTATTTTACTTATAAATTTTATTAAATTTAGGCGTTAAATAACTTCCGTAGCCGTTAAGTATTAAAAGCCGATACCCCCCCTTTATATATAAAGAAGTACTAGGAATAAAGAGCTTCTTAAGCTAACGAAGTCTAATTTTATCGGAGGTCTAGCCGTTAGGACTAACTTTAAAGCGCTAATCCTCCGGGAGGCCCTCGAACTATAATTTAATAAAGACTTTACCTTTAAAAATTATATATAGAGGAAGGGCCTAGCTAGAAGTATTTAAATACTTAATTATAGTTACCTACTCTCGATTTCTAGGTTATAAAAGTACTCGCTAACTATAGTATTTACTCCTTATTATAACCTTCGTAGTTACTATTAACCCTATCGCGAAACCGGTCTCGTTAAAGTTATAGATATTATCGGGGTCGATTCTATATTAAAGGATCGTCTTATAGACTAGATTAAACCACTCTCCGATAATTTTAGGGTCTTCGTATTTCGTACGCTTATAATTATATCGTTTCGAGAATCGGGAGGAAAGGAGAGGACGCCTTTTAACGAAATTTATAACCTAATTTTCGCCGACCGAAGGAACCGGGGTAGTTCTACGCTTTTTAAGGAGAAGATCCGCTATCTCTCGAATAGAAGAGGGCCGGGGGGCTGCTCTATAAGAATCTATAGAGAGAATCTATTTTTTAAGGGACTCCTCTTCAATTTCTATTAATTTATATAATTTAACGCGAGAAGTCGCGCGGTATTCTATACTATTAATTCGGTAACGGAGAGTTATACGCGGGACGTTAAAGGTACGTATAGTAGAGAGAGAGATATAATATCTCCATTTTTTAAAGCCTAGATAGCTAATAAAAGCCTACCCTCTTACTTAGTTGAATTTTTAGAGCGTTGAGAGCGAATTGGTGGCATGGTAGGTGGTTGAAAAAGAAGGGGTTTAATTAATTGACACGTTTTTTGGTAGGGTGGCCACTTGCTTGTGGTGGCCACTCGCTTGTGAAATACGTTATAATAGACAGTAGATAGTTAGGTTAGAAGCCTAATATAGTAAGGACTCGACGCTACTACTATATAGTTTTACTTACCTCGGCTAGAGTTAGTAGCTCTACCTCTATAGTCGATATAGTAACTAACGTATTCGGCAAGCGAGTGGCCACCGCAAGCGAGTGGCCACCCCAACTAAATGTATTAATTTCAAATGTAAATATGTCAACCAAAACTCCATTAAATTAAATACACTAAAATCATCTATATAGCTGGGCATCTATTGATTTTATGCCCTGGTTTATTACACCCACTACAACGTTGTGGGCCCCGTATAGATGAATGTAAACCCGGCGATGCAGCCCTACGCCGAGGGGGGGGGGAGGTGCTTCATCTACTACCACCGGCGTAGTAATCAATTGAGAAGCTTCTTGAACTGAGAGGCCATCTTCAGCGGGTATCTGCCTCCGGGATCTAGTACGCTTTTGCTTCTACTTCTCGTTGGCAGCGCGTAATTCCTTATTTTCGTTAGCGAGTAAGATAGTACCTTATATTATAAGACGGAAGCCTTTTATAAGCTGGTTTAATACACGATCTAACGGGCTAGGTAGGCTCCGAGATCTTATACGAAGTAAAGCTTTAATTGATAAAGCTTGCCGACGTAGTTCTTTCTCTATAAAGGGGGTTTTTAGGGTGAAATTCCGGCTCGATTTACTACCCCGGCTAGCTAGGGGTGTCGGGGTTCGAAGCCGGATATTAAGCTTAGAAATCACTCGGTCGGGTCTAAATAGTACTAAACCGGCTACTACGAAGCTATTTTTAATCGTCTCCGATTTAAAAGCTTCAATTCGTATAAGAGGGTATATTTTAAGGAAGTTAAGTTTATCGATATAGTTAATCCCGTTCTATATCTTAGTTTTAACTATCCGACCGTATATACGTTTTAATATAGTAAAACAACTAATATTAAGAGGTTATAAAAGATAAGATAAATACGCTAGTATATAGATTAGTATTACCTTATTTTACTTATAGAGTTTATTAAATTTAGGTATTAAATGACTTCCGTAGCCGTCGAGTATTAAAAGTCGATACCCCCCCTTCGTATATAAAGAAGTAGTCGGAATAAAGAGCTTTTTAAGCTAACGAAGGCTAATTTTATTAGAGGTCTAGCCGTTAGGACTAACTTCGAAACGCTAGTCCTCCGGAAGGCTATCGAACTATAATTTAATAAAGACTTTGCCTTTAAAGATTATATACGGAGGAAGGGCCTATCTAGAAGTATTCGTATATTTAACTACTATTACCTATTTATAATTTCTAGGTTATAAAACCGGCCTCCGACCGTAGTATTCCCTCCTCGTAATAACCTTTATAGTTATAGTTAATCCTATTATAAAACCGGTCTCGTTAAAGTTATAGATATCGTCGGGGTCGATTCTAAATTAAAGGATTGTCTTTTAAACTAGATTAAACTACTCTATAATAATTTTCGGGTCTTTATATTTCGTACGCTTATAGTTATACCGTTTCGAGAATCGGGAGGAGAGGAGAGGACGTCGTTTAATAAAATTCGTAACCTATTTTTCGCCGACCGAAAGAACCGGGGTAGTTCTACGCTTTTAAAGAAGAAGATCTACTATTTCTCGTACTATAGAGGGCCGGGGGGCTACTCTACGTAGATCTATAGAGAGAATCCATTTTTCAAGCGATTCCTCTTCAATTTCTATCAATTTAGATAAATTAGCGCGAGAATTCGCGCGGTATTATATTCTATCAATTCGGCGGCGGAGAGTTGTACGCGGGATATTGAATGTACGCGCAGCAAGAGAAATAGAGCTAATATCTCTATTTTTAAAAGCCTGGATAGCTAATAAGATCCTACCCTCTTACTCTATTGAATTTATAGAGGGTTGAGAGCGTATTGGTAGCATAGTGGGTGGTTGAATTAACTAAGTACTAATTGATGGACGCGTTTTTAGTTGGGGTGGCCACTCGCTTGCGGTGGCCACTCGCTTGCCGAATACGTTATCTTCTATTTTTCGCTTTCTAATCGACTAGGTCTTTATATAGCTTATAAATATAATATTAGAGCTTTTCCTATCCTTATTATCTCTAAACGATATATCGCTTATAAATTAAATCGATTTCATAGCTAGCTAGAGACATAGTTTAGGGTTTAAACTTTAGTTTTTTATTATCTCGATCTTAACAATCTCTATGTCGTTCTCTAGAACTATACTAGGATAGCCTAGTACCTACTTTTATATAGGTATTATATAACCTAG